TGTAATCAACGTCATACATACATACATACATACATACATACATACATACATACATACATACATACATACATACATACATACATACATACATACATACATACATACATACATACATACATACATACATACATACATACATACATACATACATACATACATACATACATACATACATACATACATACATACATACATACATACATACATACATACATACATACATACATACATACATACATACATACATACATACATACATACATACATACATACATACATACATACATACATACATACATACATACATACATACATACATACATACATACATAGGCAGGCGGCTGGCAGAAGTTAAGGCCTGACTTCTGCTCCCAATCGATCCAGTCGACCCGGGTTCAAATCCGCCTGCCAGCTCCTCGGGTTTTTGAGGAGTGATGAAATGGGAGGTGGCCCCCCATCATATGGACGGTGTAGGACGTGATAATATCAACTTGCGAGCTGACCAGGAACTAAGTTGATGCGCCGTTGATCCGCTAGATTTGGTTGGATGCTGGTGGTGAGTTGCCGAACCCAACGAATACATTCTGAAGTCGGATGGGGTGACGGATTAGGGTGCCCCTCTAGCAGGGGAGAGCAGGGACTGCCCCGGGAAAGGGGGCCGCTGGCGAAGTTAACCACCCTGTAACAACATACATACATACATACACACGCACCCGGAAGTCGGCTACAGAGTCTCGGAGGCCATGGATGATTGCCTGCGAGGAATGAACGAAGCACATACACGCGCTTCGATGAATGTGTGTGCGGCGTATCTGTCTGTCTGTCTGTCTGTCTGTCTGTCTGTCTGTCTGTCTGTCTGCGCTTGTCTGTCTGTCTGTCTGTCTGTGCTTGTATGCCGTGCATGCATGCCCGTAAACCGTAAAAATAAAACATGCGCATATAAATCAGTACACTACATGTGCTGCCTGATATGATATATGCTGTGTGGATACTATGTGGATAGCACATGCACGCATACACATACATGCATGTATTTTCCAGTGGGGTACGTCTGTACGGGGCCCCTTTAGCATATAGCTCATTATTGTCTGTATGTGGTGTGTCGATTCAGCACCAGCACCGGCATCACCTGGCGTTGCCTAGCGATACCCTGCCCTTGCAGGTACTTGGCCTCGGCCTCGGCCTCCGCGGCTTTGACGATGGCGAGCTGGACGCGACGCATTAGGCGCATCAGGCGCACGCACAAGGGAAAGGAATAAAGGATAGTAATGATTTTGGCATGGCTCGATCGGGGGTGCGTGCCATCGTGTGCCGTCGTGCAAGTTTTTTCCTGAATATAAAAAAACGGCAATCGCGTCTCCGAGGACATAAGCGAATCAGGAGAGTCGGCAGCAAATCTACACGCGGAAGTTGGAGCATATGCGCAAGAAAAAGGGATCAATTCTTTGTTGGCTTTTGGCGAATACAGCCAAAATTTTGGTTATAACTTGTGGAGAGTGGCAGGACGCGCCACAGTAGCGACAGCAGCGACAGCAAGCAAAAAGATTAACACGATCGCTTGGGAATCAAGGTCCTGACCCAACTTCACAGCAGAAGAATGAAAGATCCTAAATGCCAGTGTGTATATATGTTCTCGACATATCCGATTGCCCAGCGCACGCGTACGCCGCGCGACGCCGTATAAAACCGCCGAGTCGTACCTTGTTTGCTTCGGCCTTTTCAGCTGCAGCGACACGCAGACGCCGGGCGGCATTGATCTCGTTCATGGCGTCCTTTACCTGCATGTATGTTTACGTATGGCCATTTGGGATTATCTGGGAGTGACGAAAGAGCGAGAATGGAAGAGCGTACGTGCACATGCAGAACAAAAGGCGACGGACGTGCAAGGGCGGACGAAATAAACTAATAATAGCTGCCACGGAAAATAAATAAATGAACGAAAGAACGAAATGATAAACCGCGCAACAAACCTTGTGCGCCGGCTCCAAGTCGTTCACGAGCACGTGGATAATCAGGTATCCGTATTCGGACATATTCTTGGCCAGGGCGTCCTTGATGTTCTTGGCGATCTCCTCCTTCATTTCGTAAACGTCGTCCTGCAACCATACACACATTATACGTTATGTAATGTAATAAAAATAAGTAATAAGTGATCAGCAAGACACAGCAGCAGGCCTGGTTCATGCATGCGGACCGACCCATTCGTTTTGATAGATGTGTATTGCTATACGTACTATCACTTGCAAGCATGTCTTTATTATGCAGTTTCATCAGCTGCATGAAACGTTGATACGGGCAGCCAGCAGAACAGAACCAGCGGCGGCGGCCGTTAATAAACAATAAGAGATGCTAACATAACCCTTATTAATCTTTCTGAAAAAAATAGTATACGCACCAAAGTCAGTTTCGGCACGGCGGCGCGAACTTCGTCAAAGACGTACGCAGAAATCTGCACACATGCATACATACATATATTAGATTAGATTACATTAGATAGGCATATAAGGCAGGTGGCTGGCAGAAGTTAAGGCCTGACTTCTGCTCCCGGAGGTTCCGGGTTCAGATCCGCCTGCCGACCCCTCGGTATGCGAGGAGTATTGGAATGGAAAGTGTCACCCCATCTTATGGACGGTGTAGGACGTGATTATAGCAGTTTGCGAGCTGAGTAGGAACTAAGTTGTGGTGCCGTTGATCCGCTAGATTTGGTTGGATGCTAGTGGTGAGCTGCTGAATCCAACGATTACATTCTGAAGTCGGATGGGGTGAATGGATTAGGGTGCCCCTCTCGCAGGGGAGAGCAGGGAACTGCCTCGGGTAAGGGGGACGCTGGTGAAGCTATACCACCCTGTAACAACATACATACATACATACATGGTGTGTGTACGGGGACCGGCAGCATCCCATCAATCCAGCATAGAACGTTTCTTACTTCAATAGCTACGTACCACAAGAAGTAAGCAAGGCACGCACGGCGTGCACACGTACGTACGTAAGTTCATTCGCATATATGTACGTATGTATTACGTACCTGCTGCCGTGGATTCGTGAGCTTGTAGTAGGCGTCGAACATGGAGTCCTTACGAACCTACATACATACGTACATACACACATATGACTGGTGCATATCACTAGACGCACGAATGTATGGATAACGAGCCCCCTGCACGCATATTTCGGGCATGTAGGACAGACGTACATACATACGGCCAGCTGGTGTGTTCGTGTGTTCGTGTTCGATACCTGCCTTGCCCGCGCTGCGGATGGATGGATGGATGAATTCCTAGCTAGGGTGCTTGCTGCTGGTGACCCTGTGGCAGACGGAGCACTTACCAGGACGCACATCCATTTCCTTTTGGCTGCAGAATCATATCATATCATTACTAATACAGAACACGTCATGACACATAGCATGCAGTGTTCATGATCACCCAACTATATATGTATACTGGCTAAACCGCCCGCTCACTCACTCTCTCATTCACTCTGTCACTCACTCACCTGGTACTGCACACTTATGACGACAACCAGGAAGACGTTGTCCTGCGTGCGTCACATCATTATCCCGTTGGTATGCGTGTGTGCGTATGTATGTATGTATTTAGGGCGATGCGTGCAATCCCTGCATGCCTGCATGCAGGGATAGGTCTACTTGCAGAACAGGCCATTCTGACCAATGCAATGGCGTAAAGTCGCGCAGCAGCAAACTGCTGGCAGGCATGCAAACCAAAGGATAGCAGTCGCGCAGCAGGCCTCGGGGTAAACAGATGCCTGCTGCTGTACGTCAGCATGCGTGAATAGGGGTGAATGTACGATGCTACTACTGGATGCCAGTTCTTCTCTACAGCAGATGACGTCGTGCTGTCCACCCCGTCTTGCAATTGCGGCGGCGGTGCAGCCGCCTATCCGTCTAGCTAATGCGCGCGTCCTGGCTGGCGCTGGAAAAGCCGTAAGTGGCTTCAGCCAGTGTAGTAGCTGGTTCACAGTACGGCAGCTTGAACAACTACAAAATACGCGCGAAGCGCTTCACCAGCATCTCGAGAGCCCTTTTCAGCGGGGCCAGCTACTACACGTGGCCAGCCTGGCTTAGCAGCAGCTGCTCAGTTGTTATTCTATACAAGACAAGGCATATGCATGCCAAATCGCAAACCACTGTATTTCTTACTTGAGTCTTTGTCTCACACCTGCATACATGCATGCGAAAAATGAAGGAAGCTTTCTTAAGGGATCGGCGAGGGAGTCGCAGGCACTAGTGTACTGGGTTTCCGGGAATTCCGCCGGAATGAATTATAATTCCGTTACGAGTAAATATGCACAACAGGCGCGATTGATATGTTTAACACGGATTTTCTTAATATGGTACCCGTTACATTAATGCATTACATATCTTATTATCGAAGATTTCCTCCTCCTAGCAAGCTTCTCTATGTCCCTGGCTGCATATCCCTGGCAGCTGCAGGGGAATGGATGGGTGCGTATGTGTGTACGTGTGTATGTCTGTAAGGTAGCAGGGGGGTTAATAAGTCATAACAAGGCACACACATATATATGCCGTACGCCTGTTGTGTAAATTGTATATTGTATATATATTATAGTGAATTGAATTGTTACAGAGTGGGAGGCTTCTGGGCCATTTGAACACATTGTCAATTCTACGATTTATCATACCATACAGCCCCATCCACCATGATGCGGCCTACTAAGATCACTCCTCATCCATTCACCCGAACATCCGCAGAGGCAGAGGGTTCAGCAATCGCCACCAATCCAGCGTGCGAATCTCGATCCATCAACTGTGACCTCAATTCCACATCTCAGCAACTAGCCATAATCTCATGCTCCCTACAACGTTGGGGGTTTCCCCAGTATTCGAACCCATGACCTTAAACTGTATAAGGCAGTAGTACTACTAGTGTTATTTATAATATTATATATATGATGCATATAAATATACAATTCACTAATCAATCCTATACCACATGTATGCATCTGCTGAAATTACTGGTCTGGTGACATAACTATCATATGCAGTGTAAAGGCATGGATTCACTGTGTAGCAAAACCACACATACACACCACATGGCTGGACGACGACCAGCTGGTTGAAGGAACTCGCATCGCTAATCGGCGGTAATATACAACAACGGAGCTTTGTTCGCGCGCATATATATATTCCAAGTTTATAACCGACTAATAATGCGCACGGTTCATGCAACCGCGTACATGCATTATATTATAATAATGAGAGAGCAAGTAATAATTTCATACACACATGCCTATTTGCTTACTTAACGTCGAGCTGCTGGACACGGAGACTCATAGTTCCGGCGACTCGGACGCCGCAGAAGCAGTTTACAAAGTTGCAGCCAGGTAGGGCGATATGGCTGAACCTTCCGCACTTTTCCACTACTGCCACTGTTTCTTGTTCCGGACATGTCACGCAGCAGCTGCAGCAGCAGCTGCAAGAAAAAAAACAAGCTTTAGCACGCAAACTACGGTAAGTTCAGCGGCAGTTGAAAGCTAATTTGCTTCCGCACTTCATCGATTCGTCGCATTGCTTGTTAATAATTAATAGCCGTCGTCTCGCCCGCTCTCATGACTCGCACTTGGTAAGACCGCATGCAAATCATGTTTTGCGCGTACCATAAGCACGATAAGCAGTCACAGCAGCCCTCCGAAGGCATCTTGGAATCTTGTTTCTCTCCCTGCTTGCGTGGCAGTCCGCGCGAGCTAGCAGCAAGCAGCTGCACGCGTTAACCTTATGAATTCAGCTCCGAAATATACAAGACCTATAACGCGTTCGCAAATATCAGTCGCTTGGCATTGCAGGAGGTTTGTGATATCTTGGCAGTTTATTTTCTCTCTGCTGCATGGGCCTTATTAACGACAGCAGGGCTTCCTACGACCTGCTCGCATTGGCCCACATACATACATAAAAACAGCCGAAAAGACAGTGCGATCGATCTGTAAGCCAGGGTAGCATTAAATTTTTTCATTTATTATTGAGGAGGCAGCGAGGAGTCCATGCATTCAACGTTTCGGAATGCCCTGCTGCCAACTGCCTGGTTCTAACTCGGCAAGCCAGTATGTTATATTGTCGTGAGGTACAATAAAAAATATTTCCAGTATAAATTATTTGGCTGTTTTTGTTGCGCGTTTGAAGGACTTAGCTTGGACGAGCGAGGCCAAGAGCTTCAGCAGCTGCCAAGAGGCAGTCGATTGAGGAAAATCGATAATGACTTAGCTGACGCACGGACGCAGCACGTCTATCATATTTACAAATACGCCAACTTTAGGCCAGCTAGACCTATGGATCAAACTTAAGACACGCTTCTGGGACGGCGGCTTCCTGAATAGTAACGGAGGTTGATCCTCCTGCTGATTGACCTGCTGCCACCTAAATCCTACAGCAAACATCTACAATTCGATTCCTTTCATCCACTGCGCAACGAACTTCATGAGGTTCATTAAAGCACAGATGCCGGGCCACCCGGCTGAGACATGAAGCCTCCCTGGAGCGGACCAACCACCTTCTTCCCCAGCGCGCATCTCGCAAATCCAACACAACAGCCTCTAACTTCCAAACACCAGTAACATGCTAGGGTTGGCTAACAAGAAGAAGAGAGAGAGAGAACATCAGGCCCACCAGGATTGCATTGTGCGGACTTCAAACTGGGTTGGCAGTGGACATCAAACGGCAAATAAACTTTATGTCACATACGTATATAATGATATAAGGTTGGCTTGGCAGTCTTGTTGATGTATGGTATACACCACATGCGAGTATAAGATGCACCTGCCTGGCATAATAGTACCAAAATAGCACTGGAGACATTCAACCGTTTCTCACAGACAGACAACAGACAAAAGGACATCATCCGAGGGCAGCATAGTTCCAGTCTCGTACATTATCTCTCCCCCTCCCCAGCCATGCATGCACCCTCTCCCAAAGTAATCCACGTCCCATGCAAGCACACACACACGCACCCCCAGCACACAAATCGTATTGAACCCGCGCGCTTCAGGCTGCGGGCCAGCTCGTCCTCCTTGCCCGGGACAAGCTTCATCCACTACCTCAGGAAAGAACCCTAGAAATGTGACCGACTGAAGAGTTTTACTGCGGAAAAAAACACAGTAGTACGGATATGAATGCGCAGCAGTACGTATTAGCTCTTTGTGGACCAGCTGGACCAACCAATGCCCCCGCGTCTCGCGCGCACACACACACACATATGGCGCACCCTCCTGTTGACACCCGCCACTTCCTCCTCCTCCTCCCGTACACTGCAACCCCAACTTCAGGACAGTTCCACTGCGCACTGTGCTGAGAGGGAATCCATGGTGATGCTGCACACACATACATACGCGCACACATACGTAATACGTACATACCCCCCAGGTTTGCTAGGTTCAACTTCAGCCCAAAAGCTGGTGTCGGGGGAGGTTTATGAGCCAGTGAGCCCCCTTCGGACCACGGTATAACAGAACTCATTTACACTAAAACACATTTCCCTCTCATCCTCAACGACAGACATGCATACACCAATACGCAATATACACATATGTAAAAGAACGCACACACACTCACACACAATCTTACGCATGGCTCCTCCGTGTTAAAAAAGCATACGAACACGGGAAGGCAGGTCAGCACACACCAGTCGTATACAGCAGGGACAGCATCAGCAACCCCACACAGCGGGGTGCTGTTCCTGCCGTTCCTAAACCACAAACGAACAGTCACCAAACAGGTATTCTTCAACGCAAACATTCCAACCTTTTAAAATTCTTGAGGAAATATCTTGGCACCAAGGCAGGCCAGCAGTCCTGTTTTGGCCTCATATCCGTCATGAAAAACCCAACTTTTTAACGGCTGCTGCACTCAAAACCTTTGCTTACGGTCAAGACATTATTTCTAATAGTAATGCTAATGCCCCGCTAATTAGCTTGAGTCCGAATCGCTTGCATCATATGGATGAAGATCACCGTGGAATTATTTTGCCAAATTTGCTGGTTGTTGTTGAACGCCGCCTGCGGGTGACATGAGCGTCACTTCGAGGGCGCAGTCGACGTCACCAGTACGAATCCCGATCCCGACATTATGAAAGCTCTGCCACCGTCGTAGTGCCCCGCCTAAAAGCTCCCACTATATGACCTGATGCCCCAATGATGTTACCAGCAGCTGGCGGTTAGGATACCTAAGCCTTTCTTGAAGGGCGGATCCTCTTTTGTTTCAAAAGTGCAAAAAGTGCAAGAAAAAACGATTGACAGGGAGTCCTGCTGCGGCTGCTGTTGCTCTGCCTCTTCAATGCTTCTGCTCCTAGTTCAGCACTGCGACTGAGCGGCATCTGCCATTCACGCTGCTGTTGTTGCTGCTGTTGTTGCTGCTGCAGTTGTTGCTGCTGTTGCTCCTGCGCCGATTGCTCCTGCTCCTGCTGCTGGTCCTGGTCCTGCTGGCCTGCTACTGCTCCCCGCAGCCTGCCGCTGCTACCACCATACCATACCCCAAACCCGGCAGGTGCATTCCGAGACTTGACGCACGCCGCTCCTCTGCGCTCACCTAGCCGCCTGACCCAGGCTTGCCCCTGCCGCCGGCACCTTCAATATACTACCCGACCAGGCTGTCTGTCCTCCCAAAACCAGGGCAAGCTCTCACGGCACTTGCGGAACTGCGCACCCACTACGGGCTCGTAGCGCCCAGCCGCCATCGCCCCCAGCGCCTCGTCACTCGTGACCAGGGAATGGGCCTTATGCAGCATGAACTTGGTGGTGTTGATGCCCCGGTAAAATACCACCTGCCGCATCAGACCAGGGCCGAGGGAGCCGAATGGGCAGGCGGGGGGGGGAAAAGAGAATCACGAATGAGTGAAGCTGCTGCCAAGGAAAGAGTGTACAGGAGAGGGGGAAACACAGGAGAGGGCAAATTGGCAGGTGGACAAATGCGGCAGCGACGGGGGTTGTTACAAAACCGTGCCACAAAACCGTGTCACAGGCCCAGAAACCCGACACGACGCGTCGGGGACTGCTATCCGTAAACCAATTGGAGTCCGTTACGTCCGTTACGGTTACAGTTACGGTTACAGTTACGGTTGGGAACTGGGGAATGAGGGATGAAGAAGATGGAGGGGGCCGTAAAGGGGCAAGGCATCGCCGTTAGGGGAGCGGGCGCGGGCGTTTTAAGAGAGACACGAACACCCGAGACAAAAGGGGAGGGGGGGAAAGGTTGGAACGAGGCAAAAGAGTCCATACGAAATACACACCGGGGGACGTGGGCGATCTGGGATAGGAAGCCGATGCGAGTGGCGAAGAGTAAAAGAGTAAGAAAAAAACACAGCTGGTTCCATTATTACATCACGTATAATACGCGCCAAGACAAATCCAGCAACGCCAGAGAGCTAGCAGTCTAACAACGACGGATTGCCGTACAGCCATGCAGAGAGAGACATGCAGTGGAATATATGAGGTCACCACGCAAAAAAGGTCACCATGCGAACAAGGCACACACAACCAGAAGCCCGCTAACGACGTTTCTTCCCCCGTCCCCCAGCCCTGCCCTTCCCCGTCGCCCGCCCTAAGGCCCCGTTGCAGCGCCCCTAGTCGCCATCTCCCCCAGCCGCATCGGCACTAACAGCACAACTGGACACGCCAGCCTGAAAACCATCCGCGAACATGCAGGGTGGCGCCGGAGCCGTCCGCGGGGGCCCTCAGAAAACAACCAACCCGGACGCGGCGGCGGCGGCAGGGGAGGAGGAGGAGGAGGAGGCCGGGCCCTCAGCCTCGCGCACCTTATGCAGCGCTTGAACCCGAAGCCACTGTGCACATACATACATACATAATCATGGATGGCATCATTCGACTTGGCATACTGTGAGAGCGTTTGGGTTGTGCGGAGGGCACCGATAGGCGGCCTGTTCAAATTCCCGCTGCAACATCGCATCAGCCGTACCATGTACGCCATATTATCACACGACAGGAATAGTACGGTACTACGTGATGACGGCATCATCACGGCATCTGCGGGCAATCAACGACTTGCAAAATCGCACTATGCAAGCCAGAACACACACGCTCAGAGCCAACACCACTGCAAACTCCACACCACCCGACGTACAGTACGGCGACACGGGTGCAACCCAAACTGGCCCAAACACACCTTCACTCACACACAAACATCACATCACCTTACGACAAATAATTGCCACACGTTGACACGTGAATAATCACTCACCGACACCCTTTTATGCGGAAACGTGTACTCGTCCATATACGGCACGCAAAAAACGCATTTTCGTGTAAACGGCACATATTCATACGTCGTACCCTTCAGGCACATTACATGTGCTTTACAACGTTTGTTTGTAAACACCCCAAATTGCAAAGCGTCCGTACCTGCTGCAGCGCCTGGATCCTTTTCCCTGCCGCTAAGGGTCCCCCGTGCAAGCGACCCACGGCGATGGAAGCCGCAGCGGAGAGCTGGTGTGGCTGGTGTACCAGCCAGGCGTCAGGCAAAGCAGCAAAGCTCGTGTTTATGTAGGCCAGAGAGGCCACTTGCGTCACCTTGTCGCGAAAACAGCCCCGAAACCGAACGTCGTACGGCATCCACGTGTACTGCTTCCTGCGATGTGTCCATTCCGTGTGATCAAGTTAAAAAACACTTTTTTCCGTTTATTTAAAAAAAGGTTTACTCTAGGATAGCAGAAACTACTAGAAGCTGCTTCCTAAACATAAAGCTTTATCCAAGTACGGAGACGAGTGAGGGTCCCCGTCAAGGATTGCCCGGATTGGCGGATAGGCCTGCTGGCGGTTCCGAGTCCGCTCAGTCCAGCTCAGACCCCGACGCCACACCCCCAAACTGTTGGGATTTTTCATGCCCTTTTTTTTGCACAAGGCCTTCCCCCGGTGCGCACTCTTAAGAGGCACATGCGCTGCCACCAGCAGTATCTGGTAGTTCTCTCGTATTGCTGGTGTTGTTGTTGGTGGTGGGGTGTTACACTGTGGGCGGCTCGCCCGAAAAATGACGAGAGCACCGGGGGCCCTGACCGGGCCGAAACACAGCGCAGGGACGGGCGCGCGGCTCTACGTCCGTCTGGTATTGTTGTTGTTGGTGGTGGTGGTGGTGGTGGTATTGTTGTTGTTGTTGGTGGTGGTGGTATTGTTGTTGTTGTTGTTGTTGGTGGTGGTGGTGTTGATGGGGTGTTGTTGGTGGTTGTGGCGGCGGTGGTGGCACCTTAAGCAGCTGCGACGTGCACCCGCCCTGCACCCCACCTGGAGGTGACACCCCACGGCTCGTAACCACGTCCGTAGCGTATGGTGTACGGCTGGTCGGTACTCAACCACCTACAGGCATCAATCACATCCCAAACAGCATCCACACTTTTAAAAAAAATCCAAATCCAAGAATTGACATGGAATGTGCACAGGGAACCCCAGGTAACATTATCCCTTCTTTCTTTTAGCCTCTCAGATCAATCCCGAGCATGAAAGGAAACCACCAACAAAACGGCAAACTGTCAACGTGCTCGTCCACACCACCGCATCATGCGCAACAAAGCTCCCATCCTCGACTCAAGTAACAACCAACAAAGAAATAACGATCAACCGATTCGCAACCGCTATACTGGGTCAGACTTATGGCCTGTCAAAACTGACACGCCGGCAATTCTCAACAATCTGATTAGCCTTACATCCAACACAACACCAACATCGATCCCCATCACCACGAAACTCGCCACCCAGCGAGGCAAAGCAACTCGTCAACTTCCTACCCTGACAGGTCCCCCCTTCGAACCCTGCACCTGTCAGTTACAGCATTACGATACATACCGTCGATAATCTGTTGCATTGTGACCCTGAGGAAAGATGTCTTCTGAAAACGTACGTAGGTGCCGGGTTTGCCACAACATCTGCAGCCGCTTCTTGTCGCCTGGCAGTTCCGGTGCCCATGTCCAAGTCACCGAAGGCCGATTCACCAGCCGGCCATCGAGATGGAGGAGGACCCGGAGGCGGAGGGTTTACATGATGTTGCTGTTAATGATAACAATGTCACAATGCTGATGCTAATGATACCGTTAAATGATGATGACGATGATGATGATAATGATGATGATGATGATAATGATGATAATGAGGATGTAAGGAAAACCTGGATAAGGGTAAACTGCCTAGTGACTTGTAAAGCCGAAATTGTGGAGGACTGGGAGAACAGACACTCACGTGGACCACTACTATTACGACGACATCCAACACCAGGACAAAGAGGACGCTGACGAGGGGAGGCCCTGGGGGGCAGGGGTTGCGCAGGGGAAAAGGTGGAGGCATGCGGGCTCAGATGGGATCGGGCCGTAGAGCCATACGCGTATACATGGCGTGTTATACCGCTTACCTCCAGCCAGGTGAGAGCAAGCCGGGTTTTGCAACAAGCCACGGGGACCGGGGAAGAGGGGAAATCAGCACGGTTGGGCGCCATGACCCCAATCCGCGCCCTTGCCAGTCAACTTGACATCAGAGGGATCAGGACCGATTGACCGACAGACGACCGACAGACAAACAAACCTGAAAGACACACGGACATACGGACTCACGCACCTTTAATCGCCGACAGAACAGTGTTCTGCGCATCCTCCGGTTTCAAGTGGCCCTCTGCTTCCCAGGTGGGTAGTACCCAGAACACGGTCGATGCCTGCTGTATTGCTTCTAGTCTATAAGAGGGATAGCGAAGGGCAGGGCAGGGCAGGGCAGGAGCGAGCACTCGGATCACAGGCCTCAAAAGAGGACTTTGCTGCAACACAAATTGCAGCTCACCTGTCAGGCTGCGCGAGGACGCGCCGAAGCGAGTCGCTCACGGCGAGGTCCACGTCAATCATGGCAGCCAGCGGGGTTCGAATCGCAAGCAGAGCGGCGTTTCGGAGGGCGTTTATGGGTACCAGAGCACCCAGCGCCCGGTCCGCAGTAAACTCCGTCAGCAATAGAAGACGAAGACTGCATGCGTCGGGCAGGGCCTCTATACGCTCAAATAGCTCCTACACGTCGGAGTCAGAGCAGTGGTGCTTTGGAGTAACGCATCGTTGGGTGGTGCAGAGGAAGGGGTGATTTGGGTTTCGTAAGGTCAGGCACAGAGCCGTACTTCGTGTCATACTGCAAGATAACTCCTTGTAGGGACGCCAAAGCGTTCGATAGGCAAGCGTCGCTCGCAATCCCTTTTTACTGGCCCTTCTCTTACCTGCAGCTTAGATTGCGTCTCTTGAATCACTTCCGTGTTGCGCTGAAAGAGGAAGGTGCCCTGGGCCTGCACCAGTGGTAAGTAAACCGCTGCAGAAACCGAGCTTCCAGGAAGCATTCGACACTGCGCGCGGGATAGGAACAAGGCATGCCTCACATCATCGGCGCCTTGGAATGGGTGCAGAGCAAAGAAAAGGAATTGCCTTACGAGGGACTCCAGGTGGTGTAAGCGATCCATGGTGGCCGTACTGAAGACCGTCAGAGGAAACTTCAAGCTCCTCGAAGAACTCCATACGTGAGATATGTTGAGGCTGAGGTCCATTAGGGAAAGTCTTAACGTTTGGCTGCCGCGACAAAACTAAATGTGCAAAAAGCAGCCATTCACCTGACGGGCATGCTGGACATGAATGACCCAAACGTTGTGGGAGTTGCATTATACAACGAGTTATAGCATCGCTGTACCAGTTGGACATCATTCAACTGGCCCCCTGCTTGAGGTATTGCTGTAGCTGTGGTGAGGCAGAAAATCAAAGCCAATATCTTAACTAACTTGCATGTATTAACTTTTCTTTTACGTGATCTGTAGATTATGTGGGATTTGTGCATTGATTAATAAAATAAGAGCGCTGCTAGCGAGTTGTTTTCGCAGGAGTCTGTGCTCTATTGTGGCAGGGTAGCAGATTCCACTTTACAAGTACGTGGCTTTAGATAGCGATAAAGCTGCAGAGAGCAGTCTCCGATAAATCAAAAACCAGGATGCCGTACAAAAAAGACGGTTAAAAAGCCGTCGCGATGCTGTCAATGCAAATGCAAGCAGAACTGCAAAGAGCTAAGTGCCTAGGAGCTCCTTCCGCATGAAAAGCGTGTCGCTACAAGCGCCCTGACAGGCATTGACCGTCCCTTGCCCATCCTTCCCCAAGCCCCTGGGGCCCCTCTAGCTAAGGCGTTGCGGGACAGTTATCCTTCACCGTCACAAACCTCCCAAAATGTCGAAACATTTGTGACGAAAGTTAGCGCGCGCAGGTCAAAAGACAACCTTCCCGCCTTCAATTCTCTTGACATTACAGCGGCTAAAGAAATATATGTCCGCTTCCAGCTCTACCTCTGCATATTGAACAATTTGGAAAATCTGCCTAGTTGTCCTGGCAGTCGCCCTCATCACTCAAGTAATCCCTGTCCTCGCTTTCGCTTTCCTCATCGTCATCATCGTCATCGTCACAACGCGACGCAGCTACGGTCTCTTCCGTCCCCGCACCGCTCCTTTCCTCCTCTTTAACCATTTGTCGCAAATTCCGCGCCTGCTCGCGGGTGCTACCTCTGCCGCCGCGCGCTGCTGCCGCCGCCACCGCCGCCGCCAAGGCGGCTGCGCCACCCCCAGGGTCCGAAGACCGCCGAGGCGGCCGAGCACCAAAACTCCGTCCGCCGTGACCTCGCCGTGACGGTTGGCTGGCCAACGTCGGCCCATCTGTACGGCAGATTGCATCGACGCCATCGGCAAAACCCGGGCCTTCTTCGGCCAGGGACGAACCAGCAGATGCTTCACATCCTAATGAACTGACTGCGCCGTCGGCTGCGATATCAGCTGTTCCGCTACCGGCTCCATCAGCGGCATTGGTGCCGATGCCCGTGCTGCCGGTTGAGATGACGGTGGCGCACACAGCCACTGCCTCAGTACTCGACCTCGTTACTGCCTCAGTGCGGGACTCGTTGGTGGCGGCACTAGCGGTACCAGTAGCGGCAGCAGTAGCAGCAGCAGCAACAGCAGCTGCAGGAACAAGAACACAATTAGCTGCTGGTGCCGCCACAACAGCAGCAGGAACGGTAGCGGTGGCGGGGACGCTGCAGCCACGGCCAGCGGTGCCAGCAGAACCGGAACTCTTGCCGCTGCCGATCCTAGGCGTCACTGTTCTGGCGGCGCTGCCGACGGCGGCGGCAGCGGAGGCGGCGCTAGCGGCGACCCGTGTCGGCGACCCGGGGGCGCCAGCAACGTAGGAACGCAGTAGGGGCGTGCCTGGCCGCTGCTGCAGTGGTGTTGTAGTTGTGAGCACCTGCGGCTGTGCCGGCACAGGGCGCCGCCGCGCGGGCGATGCCGACTTGGCATACCTGTGCAGTAGTACAGATGGTATACAACATACACCACTTAAGATCGCACCTAATCCATCAGACGACAAGGCCGCCAACCCAGCAGTCAGTTCGCAGTATGGCAGATACACCAAAGCAAGCAAGCACAAGCTTCGTACTCCCAAGGCCGGTGTCGGAAAAAAATGTACGACAACCCCACCTGGCGGCGGCGGTGACATGTGCATGGAGCGCGGCTGTGGCAGCTCCGAAACCCATGTTGCCGACACCAACACCGGCGCGGATACCGAAGGCGGCCTTGTCCGCCAGTCCCCCCACGGTCGCAGACACCGACGCCGCCTGATGCCCGGGATCCGGGCCCCCCAGGCTGCCTTCCAGCGTCGGCTTGCCGCCCAGCGCACGAAACTTGGCAGCCAGCCGCCGCGCCTGGCCTGCACGCGGTGTTCGGGACACATACAAGTGTCATAGTCAGGGGGGAGGGCCGTATCGAAGAGCCGCTCGTGTTCCAGGGCCCAGAGGCCCCACAATAATAGTGGGGTACTGGCATGGTATTGCAGTTGGAGGTGTTCAAGGTTTACGTCTTAGGCTTTCCAGTGCAACTCATCAGTGTACGGCAGTCCGTTGTGGCCCTCGACCGATGGCCCCCTTGGGAGTCAATCCGGGGCTCTTGCTATATTACCTAGTAGGAGTAGGAGTAGGAGTACTGCTACCACTGCTACTACTACTGCTGCTGCTGCTACTACTATTACTATTATTACTACTACCACTACTAATACTAATACCACCACCTGCGACCCGATATGTCACACCAACGACCCGTGGGTCACCTGCAAACTTGTCCAGCGTTGCTCGATGTGACATCCAGGACTTGCGACCCGACAGTGATAGCGTGACGTAACGCCAGCAAACCGGCCCGGCGTAGTAGGTGTCATGCTCCAGGGGCAGGCCCACATACACCTGCCGTACAATCCGCCGTACAAAGCGCAGTCCTTAATGAAGAACAAAACAACCGGGGGCCAAGGCCGGAACCCCAAAGCATGGTTTGCTCGTTTGTCCGTTTTTTAGTTGGACCAACAACGTACATTTGTACTTGCTGCTCGTGTGGTTCGGTCCTATTGCCTCATCAGGAAACTGAGGTCTACGATGCAAGTCTCAGGCTCTAGATCCAAATCCAAGCAGATCCGGATTTTTTGGAGATCTAGGCCTGAATGGGATTTCGTCCCATGTCTAGGCCATCTCTTTGGCAGCAATCGCGGTTTTCATTTCCGCCGCCTTGCCCCGCCCTGTCCTGTCCTGTGTGTCACCGCACCCCGCCTCCCTCCTGGGTCCACCTCTGGCAAACCTCCTGCCCCATGTTGCCCTGTCGTACCCGTACGAGAGTGTGCCACCAGCGCTCGTAAGCCAACTTGTACTCCGAAACCAAATCTATGCAGCGGGATGAGGCACAGACGAGGCACAGATGCGGCACATAGCGACCTTGACACCCTTAGCCTTGTGGTGAAGAAGCTTCCTCACACGGAGGGATATGATGTACTCGACAGGGGATGAATTGGTGAGTATACACATACATGAATGTATTATCTATGTTCAAAGATCCGAGTACATATATGTGTCTAAACATATGGTCCTAATATTATGGAAGCAAAATCAGGCAAGAGCGAAATCGGAAGGGGTTGGATGTAGACCCCCGCGGTATGGGAAATTGGCCTAAGTGGCGAACTGCCCATTGCCCGTGCAGCTCATCACCTCAATGACCCTGACAGTGGCTGTCGCTGTGGCATTAAGAATTTTACCACCATCACCACGTCTACCCTACGGAGGAGCTACCTCTCCTCCCCCGCGTACGGAGATCCTGCCTGCCAGGCTGTCGTACACCAGCTCCTTGTCCATGAGCTCGGGCCGACGGCTGAGCCCAAGCGCGCCCCACTTGCGACTGGGGGCGTGGTACACCACCAACACGATGTGCCTGTACGGCAGAGATGACGATTAGGTACGAGCGTACGTCAGTGCAGAGCAGTGACAAGAACGGAAGCCGCAGGCATGCATGGTGTGAGTATCCATACGAGTGGAGGAGAGGGTGCAAGCAATGTTGCTTGTATAAAAGTGAAATAGCCAGTCAAGCACGATCTCCTCCCTCTTTAACCCATTATTTGTTCTATCTGGCGAATGTTATTTAACGACAGATTTCCTGAATAGGCTGCCTTTTACCGCCATTTCAGCTAGAAGACCTTGCCTAATTTGGCGGTCTTACTCTTTTGCCCCATTTTTTTCGGGTTGGGCCCCAGCGCGAAGCGCTCCAGGGGCCCGCGCCCTCTAGGGTAGGATTGGTCATCTCCGTGTGTCCGTGTGTCCGTGTGTCAGTCCATGTCCATGTCCTTGTCCTTGTCCTTGCTTTACATTGGTAAATCCCGACTATATCGTCCACCTCGTCCGAATTCATATCACCTAGATGAGGTGAATTAGATGAGATGATTTTAATGTGACATCTGCTCCCTAAACCCGCGAAGCACCCGAACCTTCTAACTTCCCCAATCTCACTGACCGGTACGTCTGGCCCTGTACGGTGCTCTTGAATGCCAGCGGCAGCCTGTCCAGATCCAGCCACCCGGCAGTGAGCAGCGCGCCAAGAAACACAGCCTGCGACCCAGATGATGACGACGACGACGTGTATCGGTGCCTGCCTGCCGGCCCGCCAGGCGCGTGTCATAATCCGTCTGCGTTTAGTGCAGAGACCCGTCTCCGCTCTCAATCTGTTTCATATTTCCCTCCGAATTCCCACCCACCGAAACACACCGACACACGCTGGCACGCCACGCTGCCGTCTTATGCATTGCCAGACACGCCACACGTGCTGGAATGCTCCTTCCTAAGCGCCTTTCTAAGCGCCTTACTAAGCGCCTTTCTAAGCGCCTTTCTAAGCGCCTTTCTAAGCGCCTTACTAAGCGCCTTACTAAGCGCCTTTCTAAGCGCCTTACTAAGCGCCTTACTAAGCGCCTTTCTAAGCGCCTTTCTAAGCTCCTTTCTAAGCTCCTTTCTGAGCTCCTTTCTAAGCTCCTTTCTAAGCTCCTTTCTAAGCGCCTTTCTAAGCGCCTTACTAAGCGCCTTTCTAAGCTCTTTCAAGTTTCAAAACAGGGCGCCAGTTACCCCAGTGCGTGATTGTGTCTTACCTCGAGGCATTTGATGGGCAATGCCACCCTCAGCGCCTCCCTGGCGGTGTCCATGATGCGGGAGAAAGGCCGCGACTTGGATACGTTGTAGTAATAACCGGGAGTGTGGTTGTACTGCAGGGAGTTAATTACTTGCTGTACGACATGTACGGCAAGTACAACATACACGGTTTGGGAGTATCATGATGACAAGAAACATGGCTGACAGTGCTGGGGGGGGGGTGCAGGGGTGGAAGGGAGGGTCCCGGGTTGCTGCAGCACGCGTGCCAAACGTCGGAGGGTAGATGGTGGAGATGATGAGATGTGCCACAACACCTGTATGCGTGCATTGGTAGTAATGTGCCACGACATAAAATGTCGTGACACGTCAATCACCTATTTCCGTGACGAATGCATGTGCATGTGCATGTGCATGTGATGGTTAAGGAGTGCACCGTACACGTGCAATCATGTGCATCAATCTCCACGATTCGATACGCATGTTTCATGTCCCCTCCATGTGATGGCATGCGTGCTGTTCCGTACATGTGGGTGGACAGCCATGTTGCTGCGCGTATTCCATGACCCTCATGCCAAGTACTGCATGTCGTAGCTCACCTGTACGACATTGAGCCTCTGCTGCGGTCCACCCAGCTTGCTGCCCTCCCCGGCCTTGCCGCCATCCAGGAGCCCCTTGGGCACCACGGGACGTGGCGGTGGTGCCAGACCCAACAGAGTTAGCTCGGCCTCGCTACATTCCTTGATAAGCCGCTCCTGCCGGGGCAGCGAGGGCAGGGAGAGAGGAGTGGCAATGTGGCGGTAGGTGGAGTTATGTGCTTCGTGGCGCTTTAGGATGACAGCCGGGGGTGCTGATGCTGAGATATAAGGTGTCTGATGGTGACACAGGAAGTCTTATATCGGGATGCCGGTGCCTAAAACGCGCATTAGCGCAAGCTGCTTGGCAGGGTCAGGCCAGGGCGATGTATGTGCAATGCGGCGAAAGGCAGACATGTAAGGCGGGGAAGGTTTTTACTTTCTTCGACCGCGCGATCTAGATTTAATATGGGAAGTTTTGTTCGTTTCTTGTCTGCTATATGTTTCGTAGGGCTGTGGACGTGGGTGCACCCTAAGCGTGAGGTCCCTGACAAGATTGACCTTACCGCCTCCGGAATTCGCTCATCTGGCAGAGGAAGTTTATTAAGGAGCTGCTTCAACTGTAATGCTGTCGTAGAAAGAGCCATCTCCCGCTGGAAGGGCGACTAAGCAAGCTACATTTCAGTTACATGTTAGCGGAATGTAGACAGCGGCGTCCGGTGTCTAGGATTATGTTCAGGAACAATATTTGCACATCAAATTGCTTATTCTATGAATTTAATGGGGAAGCAGCGATTCGGGTGCTCAAGAATTATGAAGACATCGTCCCAGATGATATAGCCTTTCGTTTCATGCTTTACAAAATACATCTATAGTTTTTACCTCATACCCCTGCATTAATGGCGATGTCGAGTTGGAAATGTCACATTCGTACTTTCGTCGGCCCCAATCCGTGGGCTCAGCAAACACCCGCCATACAAATAGTCGATGTCTTTTTGCGGTATTTCACAAGTCCCAAACAGCGCGGGCTTTGGCATCCACGCACGGCGTTGTCGTGGCCCTGGGCCTCTCAGCATCAGATCACCAACTGAACTGCCCATAACTGCTGCGTCCGGTAGCGAAGGGGATGACGAGCCACGCACACTATTCGATGAAGCACTAGTTTCCATGCTTCTTGTCAGTAATACAGAAGTTATTCTATTGGGTATGGAGTCCCGTGCACGAACATGCGTGCACGGTGTTGTACACACCCTTAAACTCCCGAAGACTAAAATCCGAAGCCCACATCCAGTGCAAAACCTCTAAACGCTCAATTGACTCGCTCAAGGCCTTCATAACATAAACGTATTGATAAGGCATTATAACCGCGCACAACCAAGGCCGAGATCGAAATCCAGAGAAACCAGACGTGAATGACTGTAGCGAACATAACCATGAATCGAACTTGGGATGCGGGATCTACATCTCACATTGCTCAACTGCGTCTCCTCTTAGCCAGCCAGCCCCAAAACCTTACAACACCAACATGCTCGCGGGGACCTGACGGCAACAGCATGCCTCACCCAGCGAAGGTCGAGCGAGGGACGGCATGGGACAGGAGGGTAGGATTCGGGCTGGAATTAGGGAAGAGCTCTGTCGCAGAATTAGCCTGGATTTTATTCCTGACAAAAGAACTGGTCTGCCGAGGTCTGGAATTGTTCTGGCGGACCCGCCGGAGGTATTCGAATTGCGCTGTGGAGCCTCGGAATTGGGCTGTGCAGGGCCTGAATTGGCCTGTCCGGGTGTCGAATTGGCCTGTCCGGGTGCCGACAGTCAGAATTAGCCTGACAGGGATACGAATTAGCCTGGCGGTACATTCCGACAGTCAGGATTAGGCTGACAAGGTGTCGAATTGGCCTGGCAGGGACATTCGGACAGTCAGAATTAGCGTGTTCAGGGTGTCGAATTAGGGAAGCACGGGAATTGTGCGACCGGGGCAGCCAAAAGAATTGCTCTGCCCGACAGTGTGTCCTACCCTCTAATGGGACAAAGAAAAACAGGGCAGGGGCCACTGCAGATCGGTAAGTAGAGTCGGTCAGGAAAAGAAGATCTCTACCCGCGTACACGCACACAACATTATATGTATATTAGTTTGTAGTGCAGTGCACGGCCAGCTGGCCCGCTGGCTCTACTCTTCGTGAGTCTGGAGCCCACTGTAACAACCACACACACCACCACCACCACCACCACCACAACAACAACAACAATAATAGGTAGGTCTTCCCTTGTCTCGGTTTTTGAGTGTGTAGTGGAGCCCCCGGTGGCGTTTTCTCTTTGTTCTTGTTTTGGCGGTCAAGAGAGACGAGAGCGCGCGATTAGGCTGGCCAGGCGGAGTGGGGGCAGATAGCTTGTTTAGGTCTCCCGGAGGTGGTATGGCGCCTGTCGTGCGGCTCTCGCTTAGTTCGGTTTGCAGTCTTCTGCGCCGCTGTGGTACCTAGCCAGGGGCTGGGAGATCGTCCCGGTAGGCGCGAGTGAGGGAGTGAGGCGCGCGCGGATGAACAGACAGACGTAGAGCCGCGCGCCCGTCCCTGCGGTGTGTTTCGGCCCCCGGTGCTCGTCCTTTCTCGGGACGAGCCGCCCGCAGTGTAACACACCATCAACAGCAACAACAACACGCGAACGAGCAATCGTGCGGCTGACGACTGTCTGAAAAAATTAGTGATCGTCTACGAACCATCTATTTTCAGGCCTATAATACCCTACAGCAAACGCTTGACTGGTCGCTGATCGGTAACCCTCCGGCCCAACCGGTCGACCCAACCCAGCTGTCTTCGCATGCCATATATTGATTTTGAGGAGTAGTTCAACCGGGTTAACCGGATGACGCTTTGAGTTCGCCTTGAGGAGAGATCAACCACGGGGCCCGCACTGGACATCGGCCTTGAAGGTTCCTAAAACGATGAGCGCGCTCATTTCTCTTCATTTCTGCCGCCCGGCCGGCAGAAATGAAGATCAATCTTAATGGCTCGACGGCAAAGGCTTTCTCCTCAACCCAAATTTACACTCTGAAGCTATGCAGTGCTGAGTCAGATACTGTCGAATATGATAGGCTGGCATAATATTAATAATATTAAAAGAGCTGTAGCAATGGCGACTGGGATAATGACAGGCTGGCGGTGGATCCCAGAGCCTCCGTACCGGACGGCAAGAAGCCCGGTGTCCTCAAGCTGTTGTGTCGTTACAAAAGCACTGGATGAGGCCCCTCGAAACAATCAGAGGGCTGTATCCTCCTGCTGGCGCACCATCGCGCCTTACTCCGTTTATTTACGTTTGTGCGTTTCTGATCTGGCGGTTAATAGTGCGAGCAACAGGTCTAGGGAAAATCGCATGCGTGCTGCGAGCGGCAACAATGCAGTAGTTGAATATGAAATGCATTTCATGCTCAAGTGCCCGCCGGTGCTTGCGTCTGCACTGCGGCAGAAGATGTGGGATCTAGGCGTCAATAAAGGTAGCGCGAGTGTTTGTGATGTCATGCAAGTAAAAATGACCAGCGTGGTCTTGCAAAGGTCTTTTTCGAAATGTTTCGCTGTGAGCAAACAGAGCATCTTGCGTCGTCTTGCGTGTTTCGTCTTTTTCGGCATCTACTCGTAATAGGTACTTCATGTTTCGGGCCACAACTGTGCGTTCTAGGGTTTTCCTCCTAAATTTTTTTACTTTTTTTCTTGTGGTTGATGAGCCTTTTGGTTCGTCTGAACCATAACAGCTCGCGGAAGCTTGTAAGATCCTTCCTTCCATCCATCCATGCATCCATCCATGCATCCATCCATCCTGCGCACATGATTACAAGTGATTTATACAACACAGCAGTACGTGCTTGGAAAATAAAGTTCTCCATGGCTGATTTGGCAACTTGTTATAGTACCGTAGTGACAGGAAATGTTCGTGATTTTATTGTTCGAGACACCCTCAAAATTAGACCCGAAATTATTGGTGAAACTTTTGAATTCGTGAGAAGCCAACGCAACCGAAGCAACGGTGCCTGCAATATTCGTTACTGGGTCCGACTCAGAACGCCGATTGACGCAAAAGCTGGCCAATGCATGCACGGTTATTTAGGAGCGGCAAAACCAGCTCTATCCGTAGCTGGGGCGCCGCGAGCAAGTGTGAAGAGTCCGCATTGAAGGAGGCTTTGTTGCTTAGGCCGCTTGGCCCTTGGATCCATGTCCGTTCAATTACTATGGATGTATATATGGCCAGAAAAATGGAATTCGACGAGTAATTACTGTGTTGAAGGCATTATACGATTTGGCTTCGGAGCACACATATATTCGTGACGACCATCGCCTGGAACAGCTTGTAATTTATATGTGACATAATTTCGTGATGCCGTCACGAAATTAAAATCACGAACATTTCCTGTCACTACGGTACACAGATGGACTCGTACGGACATGCCTTCCAACGGAACGTTCTATCTTACTCGCATACAAATACAGACGTCCGTCATTAGTAAATTGTAATCACAAATTATCTGCAAGTCACAACAGGAAATTTAAACATTTAGAGACTGCAGCTATTACAGCGCAAGTATAACGAGACTGTAGCACGAAGATGGACCATCGAAAACTGCTTTGCTTGTTACTTGGTGAGCATAACAGATCTGTTAATATAACGTAAAACATATCATTTTCTTTATAACGGAGGGCTGGTGCTCCAAAATGTCAGTAAATCCGTCAGCTTTACGACGCCTCGCGCGGCCTTTCCCTGCCCTGTTCTTGACTCGTCGCTCGCGCAGGCCTCATCACGCTTCCAGCGATTGCATCTGCAGCGAACACCCTTGTCGACGCCCTAGGAGATGCCAATAGCACGGTTTTTGGGGCAGCCCTAAACCTCACAAGCACCTACGCGGGCCTGCTTGTCAACGGCAAGTTCAAGGGCACCATTCTCGCCCCCACAGACGATGCCTTCGCTGTCTACATCACGAGTCTGGGCATCTCTCCGACATCTCTCATGGCCCAGACAGTTCTCATCCAGCAAGTCCTCGACGTAAGCACGGGACGAATGGATACGCCATGAATGTTGCAGTATCCGTACTCCGCCGCATTGTCATACTTTGCCGTACATATACGCCTTGCGGCTTGCAAATGACAGCGATAATGCTTCCCTTGGATCGCCGCCGTTCCGTTATAATCCATCTGTCCGAGGACATTACATTACGTCTCTGCCACTGTATTATCTACATAACTATCACAATTATCTACCTAACTATTGCTATTATCTGTGTGTGTGTGTGTTACATGGTTGGGGGGTGCGTGACCCCATACCTGTAAGACTACCCATTACTATTATCTAACTAACTATTATCTATAACCCACGCAGTTGCACTTCATCCCGGACGTCAACGTATCTTTGGCGACCGTTCAAGACGGGGCCAAATTCACCACGAAGAAGTGAGTGTTTTGATTGTAATGTAAAGCGGGGGGATGCGTTCTTTCAACTTCTAAAGGGAAATGATTTAAGCGCGGTGGGCGATGGGCGATAAGCATTATGATACAATGACGGCGGAAGTCCGCGGGGTTTACGCTCCCTCAGGGTAGTATCGAAGCTCAGAGCTGGCTTATGGCCGGCCATAAAGTGTCGTTAGGGTAACCCCGCTCTACTCCAAACCAGCCGTAATAGGATGTATGTTAAAGCACGCGCAAACTATATGTATGTTTACGTGTACGTGTGCATGTACGTGTACGTGCGTATTAGTTGTGGTTTGCGCTGATGTTCGCTTGCTGGCAATCTTGCTGATATCCATATAAATCTACTCCCTCAACCTCCCCTATCCGGCGCACAGCGGTGAGAACACGATAAAAGTCCAGAAGTTCAGCAACGGCACCGTTACTTTCGTGTCAGCCAACAGTACGGCAACCGCTCTGTACGAATACAACATCGGCGGTGTCGACAGCGGGTAAGCCGGCTCTATTTATACCACATAAGCACCATGCATGCTTTTGCCTGATGCGTGCACAGACGTGCGTGCATACTGCATACAAAAGATTTTAGCTCGTAGCTTCGTATCATGCATGCTGTACGTTGTCGTACCGGCTTCGTTTGGCGGCAGTGCAATGGTTTATGTAGGCCGGTGGAATGGCCGGCCGCAGCACTTGCACAAGGTAGACTTTAAAAATGGTACAGTTGTGTCGATACATGGCTTATGTTATCTCTCCCTATGGCATAAACATGCCGGTTACCGACCGTTTGGGGCCCATTAACCCAACCGGCCAGTTGAATGGCGTTAACGGCCCGGTTGGGTTAACGGTCGGTTGGGTTAACGGCCAGTTGGGTTAACGATCAGTTGGGTTAACGGTCGGTTGGGTTAATGGGCCCCAAACGGTCGGTAACCGGCATGTTTATGCCATAGGGAGTATCCCGGTAGCGCGGGAAGCATCGTTCGCCAATATTAATTAAAGGCCTCTAACGCTGCAGGAAAATTTTAGTAGAAGATTTAGAACTATGTATGTATTTAGTTTTAGCGTTTGTTCCCGCTTTGAGGGCGTGAAATGCCGTGTCATTGTCCCTAATAAGTCATTGTCCCGGCATTTCAATTGTCGCCCATAAGCATGAACCAGGCCACCAACTCACAAGCTTACATGCAACAACTAAAACCAGGCAATACTAGCTACGCAAGCTATGCTAGGACAAACTTTTGAGACAAGGCATCCTCCAATTGGCACGCGGTAAATTGACTTAGATTGTTTGCCCTGGCAAACTTATGTACTCCAAGCTCATCCACTGGACGATGCTGGCTGTACTTCTTGCGTGGGCGATCTTGTCGCCGCCGGGGATGTTGTCCAGGGCGTTCCGGTCAAACTCGTAGGCGCCGACCTCATTACCGTTGTCCATGGACATTGTGTTGGAAGGATACGTTAAGGTTCAGATAAAATAAAGAAATGAAGAAGCGCTCCTTCATAGTATGGAGATGGTAGAATCTTCAAGCAACTTTTGAACGACTAGGGAGAGTTGCTGATAGGCGAATTTGTATGAAGCTATAATATTCCTTTATTCCTTCAAGGTAAACGAATGCTTATGTATTCGTCTGTTAGTAGCGTGAAGCTTTGAACACTCTTTGTACGGCAGATTCGGCACAATGTTTTGCCTGATTGCGATGTTGCCTGAAAATTTTGAACAGAAGGGATCACTGCTCATGCTGGTGCAGCAAGACATGTAAGGAGATGGCCTGGTCACAATCCAGCAGTCATATATCGACAATCTCAAGCTATGACAACTTGTTACATGTGTCTGTAATAAAAAAGGGACTTTGCGATGGTGTGGGGAGCTCTTTGAGTGGTGGGACTGTGGAAATCCAGTTTGTTTCGCCCGTAACAAGTTTGTTACGGGCGAAACAACGTCCCTCTGAAACGTTTGGATATGCCTATGCAACACATTTCCTCAATTTCATGAACTGCAAGTATTCTAATCCAACATCACCCCAATCTCAGTGTAAACTAGTCTCCAAATGTGCCTGCACAAGACTGTCACCCCTGTCACCCGGCATTCACATTGCCTTAACCTCCTCAAGCTTGTCGGGTTGTGACACGTGGGCATGAACCTTGTGACAATGGGCATTGTCACAAAGAAACTGGTTGCAATCAGAAATGCATTTTTGCTCATGCCAGGTTACCGACATCGGTTACCGATTACTGGGGACGGTTAACGGATAACGGTTCGCCCGGTAATCCTACCGACCGGTTACCCATCTCGTTAACTGGACCCGTTAGGTCGGAACCGGGCCGGAACCGGCCTGGAGTATGCCATTGGATCTACAGCCACGCAGCGCCATGTGACTGCTAGACTCGCTTCGCCAGCGAGCAATAAAAAAGGAGTCAACGAAGAGCAGAATTAAACTGGCTATGGTTTAGCCGTAAAGCGAATAAAAACATAGGAGCGCATTTATAAGAAATGTGTTTATTATATAATACACGCCGCTGCTGTTTTACTCCCTCGCCGATCGTGCGCATGTCCTTGACAGGGAGACACTTATCGTCATCGATAAGCTGCTCCTTCCGGCAACCATAAAGCAGGACGGCGCCTCTTCGCTGGCCGCCCCATCGCCCTTCGCGATGGCCTTCTGCAGCGTGATCGCCGCAGCGCTCTTGCATGCCTTTGGGAGGCAGTGGTAGTAGTGTCGGCCTGCTGAGGAGTCTACGAGAGGATGAAATCTGCGATACCGTAGTCTGAAAAATAAATGTTCACATTAACTTGGGAAGAGTTCCCCAGACCGTGCGCCGCCTGCTGTGCTCGTGCCCTGCAAGCCGTGCATTGGCACGGTACTTTGTCTCGCTGCCAGGTACCTGCTGTTGAGCAATGTCGACGGTTTCCAGTGCCGAAACGCTATTTCATGCCATGAGCCGTTATGGTTGTGACTTTGGCTGGGGCCTGGATCGTGTTAGCCGTACCGTACGTGGCCGGCAGTAAAAACTTTGGCAGCCGTCTCCAACTTTCTGTCAAACATGCAAATTCGCCCGTCGGATGCCTCCAAACAACTTATGTTCAAAAGCATCTCAAAATACCTTCCAGAGCGCTCGTGTGTGTTACAAACTTGGTATGCGCATTTATCTTTAAGACTACGGAAGGAAGTTATTCCTGAATTTGAACGACGAGAGCGATATGCTCGTGAACCTTGAAATAACAAATAAGTTGCAACTTAGGGTCGCAACTTAGTAAGTTGAACTTACAATTGTAACTTGACTTTGACGTAATGTGCGCGTTTCGATCCTGTCCGAAATAAATGAGGCGACGGTCTTAAAATGCACTTTCCAGCTGGACAAGCTGGTCAAGGAGGCTGCATGTGCAGGCCCCTACCTTTGGACTATAGCTAATTGCTGACCCAGCAGTTCAGGAAGACCTCTGCAGATGTGTCACGTACACAACTACCGTAACGAGCCTTTAACGATGAACGAGCGAGCCAGGAAACGCACGCATCCGGTAGTCCTACTAACAACCTACCTGTAAACATATAATTTAAATTGAACTAAGAAGCTCATATTATTTCCGTCGAGGCAAAGTAGCGCGCTTTTCATAGGCAACGCTTGCAAGCTTTAAGGCATAAAGAGGGAATCCCCGCGTTTTGGAAATTCAATTGGTTGGATGGGAAATCCCTTGAGGAATCTGCATGGAGATGTTGCCAAATGTGGGGACAACGATCCCGTGTAAGTAAGGCCTACAAGGGAGGAAAGTGTGAGGACTGTTTTGTGACAGTTTTGCAATAGGTTGTGTGTTTTGCAATGAGCAAATTACACACTTAGTTTTATGCATGTGAAATATTTTAACTCTCTGTTTCTGGCACGTCATACTACGCTGTAATCACAAACGAGAGTTTAGGATTGAAAATACAAGAGCTTTCTCCTTATACGGATAAATATGAAGGATTTTGGAGCTGCAGCGAAAGGCGGTTTGATCATCGTCGCACTTGTTGCAAGCCTAGTTACCTTTCCAGTAGCGACGTCTGCTGCTAATATCACCGCCACTGTCTTCAGCACTGCGGGTACTTTCCTGTTTGCGAATGCGCTGCAATATGCCGGTCTCGCGGGCATATTCAGTGACTCCAGCCTCAATATTACAGTTTTCGCTCCTTCAGACGAGGTATGCAGGTTTCCTTCCCTATGTCCGCTTCTTGTTTGTAAATCGTTCTGTTAGGCAGGCCTAAAGCTGCTCTGTCCATGCAAACCTCTCTAGGTCGGCTATGCTTGAGGTTTTGTGCAGGCGAAGTAATCAAACCTTCAATCCAAATAACGCAGCGCGCAAGGGACGGCCAGCATGTCTCGAAGCATAGCTCGAGGGTTTGCGTTTTCCTAAACGCCCGTCCGAACACACTTCCCATCTATTTCGCCACCGAGTTTTTTTCCCGCCGCGATCCTTCAGCGCCTTCAGATCATGCATGCGGCACCTAGCGCACCAAAACGCGACCATTCTGTTCGTCTGACGCATTCACCCTGCTGCCACGCAAATAAAGTTGCTCAGCAGCGTCGGCACAAAAGCACTTGCTCCTTGCCGCTGAGTTTCGTGCTCCCCTAACTGACAGGCTTTTTACAGCGCACTGGGTATGCTAGGACTGACCCAGGCGGGCCTGGCTGGAAACGCCGCATTGATGGCCCCTATCTTGCTATACCATGTTGTCGCGCCAGCCCTAAATACTTCTGCCTTGAGCGCTGCTGGAGTCCAGCGCTATCCGAATGTACTGTAAGTATGTGTGTATGTATGTGTGTATACATGTATGTGTGTATACATGTATGTGTGTATACATGTACGTATGTGTGCATGTATGTATGTCTGATTGTGCGCGGACCCAATAATGGCTGCTGGTGCGTGCTGCTGTCCCTACCTGCACGACCTGCTACACATAGGGGGCCTTTCCGGGATTCTGGGAGCTCTTTGGAAGTCGACCCTTCAGACGCATTAAGCATCAAGATCTCGTCGATCGGTACTGACGCCAGAATCATCAACGCGAACGTTTCCGCGGGTAATTCCACAATCCACGTGATCAACAGCGTCCTTTTGCCCTTCTACCCGTCTATCTCCGCGGTAGGATGATGGCGGCGCGACAGTTATTACGGATTTGTTATGCGATGGCAACCACACTAATACGCATCGGGATATGAGATGTGACCATGCATCATGCATGTATGGCATCGTACATGGCCTTTAGACGTGATAGATAGACCATGAAGTACATATATTCCGTACCCGCGCACACACATGATGACATTGGGTTCTCATATACATATGGCGCAATCCCTGGATCGAATTGCACAATGCCTGCTGCCTATGGCTTTGCCACAAATATCACATGGAATGCAAGAAAGTCACCACCTATGTGGCCTAATCAAGCCATTGAATTAAACAAACCTGACTGCAGGCTTTTGTGCGCAATCCAGAGCTGACGACGCTCCTCGGCCTGGTGGCCCAGAATGCACCGAATCTGATCGCTGAACGGTTCGGACCCACGGCCGAGCTTACTATCTTCGCACCCAAGAACTCGTGAGCACGTAGCTACGGGGGGTGCTTCTGGATACCCGGAGGTGCAGACACATCTTTTGTGGGTTGTAGCGCTTATTGTTAGCAACTAACAGCAAACGGTTATTATTAACGGCAAACGGTTATTTTATTGGTAGCGGTCAATCACATGCTGCTGCGACGACTGTCCTGTCCGGGTGCGGGGGATCGCTAGCGGGGTCCTGCCCCACCCGGCCATGTGCTTGCCGGTGGGTTGGTCAAGAGCAGGGTACTTGGGGCGGTGCGGGGCGGGGCGCGTTATATAGCGCGCATTTGCTCGAATTGATGACACGCACACGCACCCCCTAAAGCTGGCTCGTTGCCACTATCTTAATTTGGCTTTTGGGGCCTTGTGGTCCCAAAGCCGTGCGCCGTGCTCGTCTTAATGTCTTAATGTCTAAAAAAATGTCTAAAAATGTCTAAAAAATGTCTAAAAATGTCTAAAAATGTCTAAAACTCTAATGTCTGAATGTCTAAAAAAACTTCCATGGCTGTCCCACGCGCGCGCAGGGCCTTCAGCACCCCGCTAACAACGAACAGCGCGGCCATGGCCCGATTGCTTCAAAATCCGTTTGGCGTGTACTACATATTGGGCTATCACGTGGTGCCAAATGAAGTCATTTTCAACGCTACGGCGGCGACCGAGGCCGGCACCGCGACTGTCACCACGCTGACGTGAGGAAATGGAATTTTGAAAGTGGAAAATTAGAGGTCTGTTAGGTTTGAAATTAAAGATCGATCTGCTAGGTTTGGAATTAGAGATCTGCTAGGAGTGCGGTTTGAAAGGTTACATGTGCCGCGGTTGCACATGTGCCGCCGAGGCGTCCCGAGGTAAGGTGTACGGAGCGAGCCTGGTTTCCACACGCTGCCTCGGTGGCCGATCTATAACACCATGATATATACCATGGACGGACACTCCCCTCATTCGTGCGGAACTTGTATATCAACATGGCACGAGTGATAGATAGATAAATAGATAGTTATATAGATAGATAGATAGATATAATCGACCATTTATACGATTGACCTCTAATACGATCTCTTTCTCGGTTTTACCTATTAAGTATATATGCGCATTGATGACGGCACTGATGACGGCGCTATGTGATCCGCTGTACATGACACGACCCGATACTCGTTTGCGTTTTGGCGTCTGCTGCTGCATTGTTGTTGCGTCCTGCATTGCATACGTGCAACTTTCTCTAGGGCATTTCTTTTCATATGCACCTTGAATTCGGCCCGAATGCGCCCAGGGGTCTGAAGCTGACGCTGGTTCGCTCCGGTAATGCAACCGTCGTAGTTTTTCCCTCTGGGAATGCCACCATCGTCAGCTCTTACCAAGCGGGGTTCAAGAACGAGTAAGTCCTAATGATGATCTGTGGATGGGTTGCAGCAGACGTCTCAGTGGCACCTGCCCACTCGCGAAAATTCCAATACTCGCATTCCAATGATCGCCCACCAATTGTGCGTATCCTTGCCTCGTCGCTCTTATTATCAAGTCAAGGCTCCTCGACATGCATTATTGCTGCATGACTCTCGCTTGGAAGTCACGTATTATTATCGTCTGCAAATATCCCACATCTTCCAATCAACCTACCTACTTACCTACCTGCCTGCCTGCCTACCTACGTACATACCTACGTACATACCTACCTACTTACCTGGCGAGCCGCCTTGTTAGTCTCACAACGTTGTTTAATGTCCTTGATTGCCAGTCCTATTTATATGTTTTCTCTCCGTCTGAAGAAAAATGCTGATTACTCCTTACTGGGCTGCTGTCGTCCCCAACCACCACTGCCACCACCACTGCGGGGTCCTCCCTCTCCCGAGTGCAGCGGTTCGAGGCGCGCTGCGGTGCACGTGATCGATCAGGTGCTCATCCCTCCGGCCATGAACACCATTGCCGATGCCCTACGAGCGAAGGTCGACGCAACCGTATTCGTCGGGGCGCTGAGCTCGTCAAATGCATACACGGGTCTGCTTGCTGGAGGTACCTTCAAGGGCACCTTCCTCGTCCCGACGGACGCGGCGTTTGTAAAGTTCATGGGAAACAGGAGTCTGACTGTGTCAGCTCTACAGGCTGCCACGAATCTAAAGCAACTGCTTGACGTAAGCCGTGGAGTGTATATATATATATATATATATATATATATATATATATACAGTCAGATATATATATATATATATATATATATATATATATATCATACAAACTTATATAGTTTGTATGATGCTTTCTAGGGATGTTAAATAATAGTTTGTTGTAATAGTTTGTTGTATGGACAATGTCTAGAGCTCTAGGGGCTCTTTTTTGTGTTTACACGCTGACGTTTTCAGCGATGCAGCTGCACCCTGAAACTCATGATGTGTAGGCGGCAGTTGGGGTCCTCTTCTGGATCGGGCTGACCGCATATATATCCCCGTTCCCACGGAGGGGTGCAGAGCGGTGTCCCGCCCTCGCATGCTGGGGTGGGGGTGGGGGGGTGTCGGGCTCGCATCCTGTCGGTTGGATACATCCTACAATCCACATTCACATATCCCCGAGCAAAGCATCCAACAGCCGCATCTTGGTGACTGCATCTCCCTTCCTCCTCCGCCATCCTCATCCTTGGTGGGCTGGCGTCGACCCGTCCGCCAATATGCCGCCATCCTGGGCCCTCTTGCCATCCTTGTCCCCGGGGGATCCTGGTGGGCCCCTCAACATTTCTATCCTACTTTTCTAAATCCGTATCCTGTGCCCGACCCGACCCCCCCCCCCGCCGCGTCATGACTGCTCTGCAATCCTCCTGTCCCCAAGTTCAGGATAATGGAAAGAGGCGGCCCCCTAGGGTTTCCTTCATGTCGGCCGCTTTGTCTTTTTTGTTGTGTTGTGGCATTAAACAATATTGTGCCGCGCGATGAACACGCGCCTCCGCGAGATGACATGCTAACCTATCTATCTGCCATTTTTCATATGGGTTTTATGATTTAATCGAATATGTAAAAAATAATTATGATTACTTATTTGTTAAGTATTCGGCGTTTTGACTGTGACGACGTCCTCATTGTGTTGATGATGTTGTCGTTCGCGCGAAGGCTCATATCATCAAGGATACCGTCATCTCGCTGTCCAGTGTCACCAACACAACCCTAACTACAGCCAGGTGAGGCCCCATGCTTGCATGTGCACAGCTATAGCCCCGCCAGGAGTGTGTAAGTGCGCGTATGTAACGTCCATACAGCCCTGCGTCCTCGTCTATGTTGCGGCGCTCTCTGCTAGCTGATACAAGCTATAGTAATAGCGCTGCTAGGTACACTTCTGTATTTGTGTCGAACCGTAGTCTGTAGCTTGGGCGTTCAATTCTTTTAACTCCGCAGGCAGGCTTGAGCACGGAGCGGCGTCTCCATTTTCGCTCTGCTGCCGCCATGCAGCATGTTCAGCGGCCGGTACTGTTGGATGAATCCTCTATACCTAGTAGTTCCTTGATTGGCTGTAGAAACGCCTAGCCGGGTCAAAAGCCTACCTGTACATGGGGCCCGTGTGATGACTGGGCCATGGGATTTAACTTGGGTAGCGACCAACTCAGCTCACTCATCCACATGAGGTAAACGCATTGGGTGGTTTATTGGCCGCTCTGGAAGGTGCCCGATTCCAGATGATTTGCATGCATGCATGCCAACTCATGTTTGCATACCTCCACCCACCCGCCCACCCGCAGCGGAGCCAAGATTACGGTTAAGAGAGCGACTGACTCGGGGACTGTTACTTTCACCACCGCAAGCAATGTTGGTGCAACTGGCCAATACGAGTTCTTCGTCACTTCTGGAAACTCGTAAGTGCGGCTTGATTCTCGTACACTCGTATTTTTTTCGCACTGCTTTTTATATATTTATGTGTTCACGTGGCCACAGCATTTAACAAAAATCGCGAAAAGCTTGGCCCACAGATGGAGCGAGGGGCTATTATGGGGCATTTTTAAAATCCTCAGCAGGGTTCAACACGCAGCGCAGTCCCCGGTCGGTGTAGCGACCTGAGTTTCTGCACAGATACGATATTCGCACGCTTGCAAGTTGAAAGTTTAAGGTTGAATGTTTTTTCCTTACTGGAACTGTCCCTGCGACGTCTTGTGTCGCAGTTGTCACTTAGGGTTGCCTAAGTCGGTCTTGCCTCCGATATTCCTCCACCGCTAACCACCGTCTTCTTGATCACACCTCTCTCTTCCGCGAATTGCACCCTCGCTGACGTGTCCTGATCAGGACTGTCATCTTCATTGACGCCGTTCTTTTTGCGGGATCTTTGACGTATGGTGGAGCTGATGGAGCCGCCTCGATTCGGGACCCGTCTCCTGTCACCATGCTGATGTGCAGCTTCCTCGCCGGGACGCTGCTGTACGTATTCAGTCGCCATTAGACGGCTGTAGGATGTCATGTTGAACCCCACGCAAAGCCGCGCTGGCCGCAACTAACGACTGGTTGTGCTAGTAATTGAATGCCGCAACGATGGTGGCAGGCATGGCCGCTGGTTTCGGAGACCCGAGCTGGGCGCAGTTTGCGCCATATATAATCCATTAGGGGGGTTACGGCAAAGCCGAAATATATAAATAATGCCACGCTCTAACATCGCGCGCGTGTAGATCCACCATCTTGTTGCATGTGTCACGGATTACGGGGACATATGTTTGAATTTTACGTAACTTACTAAATTATACGTGGTTTACTAAATCACGTCAATCTATAATGCTCTGTTCAACCGCCGTCATTATTTGCGAATGAAATCTTTCGTTGCGGGATTTGATGTAACGCTGAGGGGTTGTAACCCTGAGGCCACCCTCAGCAATTTTTAGACCTCACGTTCAAAAACAAAATTATAACCGTGCTGCGATATTGGTATATTGCTTATTGGTATATTGACGACAGCATTGCTCAAGTGTCACAGCCAGGAAGGGGCTCCTGGGGAACGGGGTGTGGTCCTTGCCCTGGTACAATTTGCGGCTGCTCGTTCGGATCGCAGGTTGATTATGCGTAACGGTGTTTTATGAAATCGTACTTACAACGTAATCGTTTGCTTTATTATTACTTTCCTCCGGAGCTGAGGATTGCTTCGGGTTATGTGTGGACGGCAGCTAGTTGGTGGCACGGCCTACAGATGGTGGAGATGGTGGAATGAGCACGATAAAGCGTTGGCTTGTTCTACTAAACGGCAGAAGCGTTATCCGGCTTTGGATGGTGATATGTTTGATCATATTTGCTGGCAATTCGCGAACAAAACAACTTCATTTATTTTGTGGTCGGGGGTTCGAGTTTGAGCGATGGAATTGTATTTTTTTCTATCGCTTTGGCGAGTCGGAATGGCGGAAAGCGTGAGGTTGACTCTGCGCGATTTAGAGAGTGAACGAAACAGGGAAGAGCAGCAATGAGAAGTGTGTGTGTGTGTATGTGTGTGTTTGTGTGTGTGTGTGTGTTTGTGCGTGTGTGTGTGTGTGTGTGTTTGTGTGGTTTTGCGACACAGTGGTCTCCAGACTCACGAAGAGTAGAGCCAGCGTTCCAGCTGGCCGTGCATTACTGCACTAGAGACTAACTTTGTGCACCGGGGGTAGGAGAATTAACAGTCCGCTGTGCCTGTACGGACAGGGTGACTGACTTGGTTCCTTAAATCTCCCTTTTGTAATGGTATCTCCTCCTAATAACCGGGCGAGACATAGGTGGGTATTGGAAGGCCGCCATTTCCGGGAAGGTACTGTGTGAACAGACCAAGCGTAATCGTAACAGAGTCTTAAAGCTTTTGATTTGTGATGATAACTGCTGGTGGACTGAGTTCGCCTTTCACTGTGCGTTGGCTGCTGCGGCGAGCGACCTGCTACTGCAAGCAATTCAGATAATCAGGCTATACCCGAAGTTATATTACTTCTTGTCCTGCCAAATGTTGTATTTCATCCCGCGCCTCGTTTGGCAAGAAGTTAGCTATTAGATGTATTACGAATGCCGTGATACAAAAAATTGTTGTAGGCGATTATGCCGATTTTGTCTCTTGCGATACCTCAATTTAAATCATACTTAAACACAATCATCTTAACAGTTTATGCAAAGCTGGTAACTTTCGGTTGCGACGGGCCTTATCTTCAAAATGACCAACTCCCCAGGCCAAACCCGAGGCCGTAGGGCCGCGAGTTGGCGGCCTATGTGACCCTTACCTTCAGCTTCTAAGTTTTCTTCGAAACTTAAAAACTTTTAAAAGTACTAATGTCAAGCCACTTTAATAGGGCTTGGCCTCTTTAATCGATTTGGCCATTGCTGAACCGTAGGTCAGACACACGTGAATTAAGCATCGCTTCTGCCTCGACCCTCTATTTGGCCCACCTTATTACCAGTTTATTGTAGTGTGCGCGTCTGACGCATCGACGCACCTCGTTTAACCACGGCGGGCTCACCTCCACGAAGAAAGATGTTGATGCACGGCAGAGTACCCACGCTGATCCTGGCGGGTGAGTATAGATATGGTAATGGATATGTCCTTTACGTCCTACCTCACAGCAATCTCATGCATGCCACAAGGCTAGCCAAAGCCCGTTTCAACATGGCATTGCAACTACCGCTACGCTGTGCTACTCGCTCATCAACTATGCATAATGACGACCGGCTCTTGATTATGCCGGAGCAGGTCTGCTTATTTCGCTGGCGACTGGTACGTCAGCCCAACCAAGCATCTACTCCGCATTAAACTCAACCGCAAACGCAACATTCTTCTACTCAAGCCTGAGCGATGCAAACCTGGCAACAGTGTTCAGCAATACTAGCCTGAACTTGACGCTGCTGGTGCCTTCCGATGCGGTAAGCATCTGCCAAACCATAATCGAAATTTTCACATTCGGCCGCCGATCCGTCGCCGTTGACCATTGCCGCTCGCTACAGATGCTATTTAGCTTGTCTATCTGCTGTGATTATCCCCACCTGCTAGCTGATACCCTGCCCTGCTGGGACGCCCTGCCCTAGGGCATTAGGCCTAAAGCTGTGTCCGAATCCTAAATCCGTCACCATCAGCCAAACATTCAAGTACTCATAACTATCAGGTGTTCCTAGGTGCTCCAGGCTGATGAGCTGTTCACCAGCGCTGGACGCTACTGCGTCGCCGAATAACCATTATTTCTCCTAAAGGGAAGGATGCCATCGATCGCCGTCGTTTATTTTAATAATCGGCCAGGCAATAAGGTGTATGTTCGTCCTAATGATGCATCATCAGGCAGCACCACACCATATCTCATATGCATGGATCCGTTTCCCCTCCGCGCTGATATGCATTCCCTTCGCTCACAACTATTTGCATGCATCCTCCTTTTCGACCTCAACGTGCTACACACAGGCCTTCGGAGCGCTCGAGACTCAGCTGAACATCTCGGGTGATCTGTTCTTCCTGCCGAATCTGGCCCCCAAGGCGGCACCTATCCTGCTATATCACTTCGTCACCCCATCGACCCCAAGCGGGAGCATACCCCCCAATATCAGCTCGTTTAATCTCGCCTTGTGAGTGTCGCAAAAATGGAATGGGCATAAGTGGAAACGGCGTCGGATATGCCACCCTTTACCAACTCGCTCGCTAGCTAAACCGCAGCTGCTGATTGTGCCCTAACTGTGCGTCATTAGTGCACGTTATTACCGTTTGCGAAGAAGCACATAACGAACTTGCAAGTAGCTAGTGCTCCACGTTAATGATTGGATAACATGCGACGTTAGTGTAGGGCACGCAGCTATGTGCGTGTGCATGTATGTATGTATGTGTTCTTCAACTTTACATGCATTTGCTTTTGAGAGCCAGCATCAGGCTTCCTTTTCATACAGCGGGCACTGTTCTCACCGTGCTGTTACGTTTTCTTGCGGGCGCATTTGCATCCCCCTCCTTTTTTTATTTGCTTGCCCGCCCTTACACACATACACACACGTGCGCCCCAACAGCGGCTCATCGACGTTGAAGGTAAACAGCAGTGTGGTAGGTAATTCAACCGTCAACTCAACGGTCATCCGCATCTCAAGTATCGGATCGGACGTCAACATAACACGAACGGACATCTCTGCTGGCAACTCCACCATTCACATACTCGACGGCGTATTGCTGCCCTTCTACATCAGCATTGGCTCGGTAAGTGCATGTATGCAGTGTGATGTGCGGGGCAGGGGGGTTTTCATATCTTCACCCTGTGGCCGGCTATACCCGGCTATACCCGGCAGACCCTGCCTTCCCCGGTGTTTCGGGGCACCCTCATCCAGTCAACCTTGGTTTTTATTAAGTGCACGCAAGTATATGTATGGCTCGCATCAACGAGCAAAGGAATGCCTGGCATGGCTGCGATCAAATGAAGCCTCCAAAAAATGACCAATTGTGCGATAATACAAATTCGATCTACCAATCGGCTGCTGTTGACCATTGACCACTGCTGTTTAAACCGTATTGCGTATTATTACTTCCGCCTCGGTTGCAATCCACTCGCTGCTGCATGCTGCAGGGTCTTAGCCGCAACAAAGACTTGTCAGCGATAAACAGCCTCACGAACAAGCTCGGGAACAACACCGCCTTCCTGAATGTGTTGAACAACCTTAATACCGAGTACACTGTGCTGGCGCCTGTCAACTCGTAAGTCACGGTTGCCGACAATGACATTTTAAGAAGGCAGCAGATAGTGAAGGTCGCCTGTAGAGGAGAAGGAGGCGACACCCTCGTTTAATAATAGATAGGGACCGCCCGGATAGCAAGATGATAAAAATCTTATTCACGGTGGTGGAGGTAGAGGTAGAGGTGAAGGTAGAGGTGGATCGCAAAATACAGTACGTTAGTTGGGGGCCCCCGGGGTCCAGTGCCGTACAGTGCAGTCCAGTGCAGTGCATTCATTCATTACAGCCCATACCCCACATTTGGAGTCCGAATTTAGTTTTGGATTTTACATACGGCAGATACGGTACTGCACGTGCTCTGTGTCCGTTTATGTAAATACACCTTGGCACCCTTCTCTTTTCAGTCGCGCATATGTAAGGGGTTTGACCTCCTGCCACGATAATATTGCCGCATTTAAACAATAATAATAACGTTGCATGGCACGCTCGCGATGACATGACGTATGCACGAAATTTATGTCAGTCGTTATTACGGCCTAATAATAGCTTTTAGGCATTTTCCCCCGGCATTATTGACAGAAAAGAGAAAATTTTACCTGTGCCTTCTCTCTGCTGCTGCTGCTGCTGCTACTGCTGCTGCTGCTGCTTGTGCAGAGGCTTTAATAATCCTGACGCCGCGGTCAATGCAAGCCTGACTAAATTGCTGAACTCCACTGTTGGCATGGTTTACCTTTGGAACTACCACCTTATTCCGAAGCCAGTAATCTTTAACGCCCTTAATGCCTTCAACTCATCCGCCAACCAGACCGTTATAACCGTCACAACCGCTGGGTGAGTTTCAGTTATGCATACCGTACATATGCACGCACCGCCCTGCGTATCCTCTGGTTCGTTCACTACGCTTTAATCATATCGCCTACGGTTCCAAGGATATTTTATAAGATTGAATATGCTTTACGACATGCCTGTGTCGTACACGTACTGTTTGCAAGTCGAAGGGGGGAACGCTGTAGTAACCGTTCCTTAGGCGTTTGAGCGATGACGTTTAGCCGTGCAGCCTGGTGGGGAATGGAGTTTGTCCAGAAAGAATGGCGAAGCGGAAGAAGCGAATATCGGTACGGGATATCAGAGTTGGAAGACAAACGGGGGATCGCAGGGGGACGGCAGGGTCTTGAACCCAAAACACTGGTATAGGGATACTACAGGTGACTTATATGCCAAAACACCTCCTCACTTGCGGCCACCTCACTTGCCGCTCCTGCCTCCATAAGTGCGCATGCATGCAGCGAATTAGTATAATTACATAGCAGCCCTAATAACATGAGGCATCCATCTGTATGTATGTGCTCCTTTTTATTTTTTGTAAATTATTGATAGATTATAATAATCACCCGACAAGCAAGGCATACAACTAACGTGAACAAGGTGTAGCACTCTGTAATCATTTTCCTGCTGTCGTACGCTGTCGTACATATACGCTGACGCCACAGAGGATTGCCCTTGAGCTTGGTGAAGAATGGATCCGTGGTGACGGTCGTCTCACCCACTGGGAACGCCACCATCCTGTCATCCTTCAACGTGGGCCTGACGGGCAGGTACGGACGGATCATGCGTATATACATACATATACATACATACGTACGTACATACATACGAACTTCAGTGGAGCGTTTGCTAAGAGTGGAGCGTTTCTTAGAGGTGGAGGTTTGAGCATCACTTCCCGCGGAACCATCTTCAGTTGTCGCAGGACAAGATGAACATAAAGATGAAGATGAACAGGGAGGATCGATCGAAGCGTCGAAATGGGTGAATGACGAACGAGCGAGCGAACAAACAAACGAATGAACAACAAAGAAATGATGTGATGATGAACAGCAGCTTCTAAGAGACGTACTGCACATACATGGCATTACTAATCACGCATGCAGTACGGATATATATCGCAGCATACACACATCACTGGACATACATCCACGAAACGAAACCCGAACCAGCTAAACGTTGAACCCCCCGCCCTCCAGCTCCCCGCTCTCGTTCTCGCATGTCGTCACCTCACTGAACTACCCCACCTACCCCACCACCCAAAATGTGCGTGTCATCCATCCTACTGCTGCAACCTTGTACACAGCGGCTCCTACCGCTCCGCCATCCACCTCATCAGTCAGATTCTCCTGCCGCCAACGTTGACGACTGTACGGGAGGCGCTGTCGCTTCGTAACGACACCAAGACCTTCATTTCCGTGTTCACCAGCAGCGGAAGCTCCTACGCATCGTGGCTGGATAGCACGTCCCTCAGCCGCAGCACGTTGCTCGTCCCAACCGATACAGCCTTCGCCACCCTCCTCGCGCAGTACCCAGGCTACACTCTGCAGAACCTGATCGCGGGAAGCACAGGGGTGTCTCAACTTCTGGATGTGAGTTATTACTATTACTATAGTTATAGTTATATTATTACTACCACTTGTGCTGATATATTACGTTGTTGCTGGTTGTTTTGCTTTTTAATTTGCGTGAGGGAGGTTTTACTTTCTGAGAACCGTTTGTCGATTGTAAAAAACATTTATTTCCCCTTATCTTGGCTTGGCTGCTCTCTTGGCTGCTCTCCCGCCGTTCGTGAAACCTTTATGACTATTTCGTTTTTTACGTACTCCACGTGAAAGGTCGTATTTCGCGTGCATAATGCAGCTGCTTGTGATCAGGTCCTCGACCATCAGCTTGGCAGGTCTGGCCAACGGTATCACCAACATTACCGTCAACAAGTAAGTCTTTCAGAAATACCAAAATATTATGTCTACAATTATAATGCAAATCGCAACCGAATCCATTGAATTTGTGTTGGACGCGAAAACAGTCCACCGCGATCTATCATCTATCACTCCAATCCGGCAGTCATAGTGTGTGGCGCGTGAGTGAACTCCTGCGGTTGCATCTTTGGTTTTCGCGGTGCTGGGTATCTGCTCTGTGTGCGTGTGTATGTATGTGTGTAGTTATTACACCTCGGTTGCGTTACCCGGCCAGAGAGGTGTAACGAGCCAGCCCCTACACGAGCACACAGAGGCCCAAGAGCCTAGCTAGGAGCCGCAAGTTAGGTTGAGGGACCTAGTAGTACAATACAACGCAACAAGTTCTAGTGCCCAAGCATTATACATATCTCCATAATCACACCGCCAATATCTGTTGACCAACAACCATCTCATCGTTTCGAAGCTGTGCAACAGATGAGCGGCATGAGCAGTACGCAGTATGCCTGTATGTATACACTTGCTTGTTTTCTAGCACGTAATCGCATTCATAACTCGTACTGCCTTGCAGTGGTGCCGTACTGCTACGAGCTAACAAGAGCTCCTCGACGGGCGCAGTCAAGTTCCTCAGCCTCGCCAACTCCGCCAACTCGGTGGGCTCCGACTACTATATCGGACGCGTGGAGAGCGGGTAAGGGCTGTGTGCGGTGTCATACCTTTCCACGGCTTGTGGGTTCTTGTTCATAAATTGTTGGGTTGCGTTGGTCGTTGCATTGGTCGTTGCGTTGGTCGTTATGTTGGTAGTTGCGTTTGTTAACTGGAACCTTTACCCCGTTCAGTTGCTGTTGCCGAGCCCGCGACTGCCTAAGGAACACCACACTAACAGTAACCCTATCCGGCACCTATCCGGCCTGGCCCCGCCGCCCCCTTCCCCCTTTTCCCCTCAACTCCTCAACTCCTCAACCCCGCCGCACCCCCCCACCTTACCCCCTTAACCCCCCCCCCGTCGCCCCCCTCGCCCCCTCATGGTCCGGGATTACCCGATCGTGCCCCCTCAGGGTGACTGTCATCATCATTGATACCGTACTGCTTCCCCAACCATTTAACATGGGCGCTGACGGCGCATCCTCGCTGGCCGCCCCATCGCCCTTCGCGATGGCCTTCTGCAGCGTCATCGCCGCAGCGCTCTTGCATGCCTTTGGGAGGCAGTGGTAGCAGTGTCAGTCTGCTGAGGGTTGCGCGATGGGGCACGATACGGTTGTCGACTCCAAACGCCGATAGTCAGCAAACAGACGGCGGACGGACGGACAGACAGACAGGAGCCCAGAAAGAAATATCGACAGACAGACAGACAGACAGACAGACAGACGGACAGAAGGATAGATGGGTAGATAAGAGAGGCAGGCGGGTTTTGTAGCGGGGTAGGGGTGCACGGCTTACGAATGCAGTGGATTGGGGATCGGGGTCGGGGTCGGCCTCTTGGGGTGGACTGATAAGTGACACAGCAGGGTGGAACAAGAATTAGACGATGCCTACTAGATAGGTAATGTTACAAACACTGTTCGGATGAGGACCTTGAATACTGACAGGCAGGCAGGATTGCGAACTCATCACGCAGATATATGAAGCACTTTGTTCGCCGTATTCCAGCTATGTGGTATATTATATTTGGAATATTGGGGGAAATTAATATATTACTGCCTGGAACTGCCTAGTAGTATCGCCCTTCATGGATGAATCGACCACCACCAATCTATCGACGCACTGTATTTTCGGACGTAAGGATTGATTAGTCATTATTATGACAGTAATCCGGCATGTTTGTTGCGGCGCCGGTAACGTTGCAGGACAAGAACAACATCATCACGTGCGTCTATGCATATGCGTTTACCTGTTGCTGTCTGTGTGTTCATGAAAGCGTGCTGAAGGCCCGCGTAGCTCATCAAGTAGCGGCGCCGCCGGCGGATGTAGGTAAATGATGAGGGAAGGTGTTGGTGGCTTTTTCAACCAACGCAGGATGAGGGAAAAAGGAGGGGTCACGACAAGAGCTCCTCTTCACGCACACCTGCCTCGCTCGGTTAGGCGGAATGCTATTGGGCAGTTGCCGAGGGGACGTTAATACTGCGCTACTGCAGGCAGGGTTGAGTAGCTATTTATCACTGCCTGCAGTAGCGCAGTATTAACTGTAGTCGCCACTGCTGGCGCAATCTTCTCGCTCGAAGGAGGACTTCCCGGGCAGTCTCCCCCTTCTCTCTGCTGAAGATGGCGGAGCGCAGGCAACGAACTGGGTGTCATCCCCTTAGCCTTTCGGAAGCCCCCAGTCGGTCATTTATAGCCGAAAAAGAGCTGGCTAGGCCCGCTAGGGCTCGACTAGTTCTAGTGACCAAGGAGGGTGTGTGACGTTTATGGTTTTGATACATTAGCCTACACCTTTGCGGTCGAAAAGGAAAGCTCAGCAGGCAGGCCACCAATAATGATGTTTCGCTTTTCTTTTGAGGAAGGAACCTCATTCGACCTTGGACTCTGCTCTATGACTGTACAACGCTAGCTCGCCTGTCTGCTGTCATACAGGAGTTCCTTAATGCGTCTCATACATCCAGTTTATTGAGGCCATGGATGCTCGTCAGTCGAGGAGGATGGTGCCCTTAGGATGAGCGATTACTGTTGCGGTATCTATTTGACGGGAGCATCGGCGGCGGTGTGGTCGGTGGCTTTTTGGTGGTGTAATTTGGCGATATTCGTGTATTCGACATGGGAATATACACGCTGAGAAGAAACACATCAACAAACCGATAGCCACATACAGGCGCACATACAGGGGCATCAAGGTGATATCTTTCGGGCCTCGATCGTGACGAGTTGTCAATCAGATTTGCGCAAACACTGGCGGGTAAGGTTGTGAGTAATGTGTACCTACTCAATCTAGACCCCGTGCCGCGATTCGGAATCGGGAAATAAGAAGCCACATCTATTAACAGATATCAATACACAGATTGATGTGGCGGTTTCATCTCAATAGTAGAAGGTCCCAACCTTTAGGAGTGCTTTCCGATTCGGTTCTAGCATTGCTCGATGACAATGCAGGCTCTGATGTAAGCGCGACGACGACGAAGCCCCTCAGCGTAATCGCTACCATTCTTAATCGCTGCGGACCTCCTCCTCCTCCACTTTCCGTTAAGCTGAACAGTTTTACATGGATACTTGCAAGTGCTTCGGTGCTCTTCAGTCTCCCTGTCCAAGAGATCGGAGGAATGCAGCCGTATGGAAGTACCCACAACTTGGCACTGCTTGGTCGGGCTACCAGCTTTCGGGCTATCAGCTTTTGCTCGGGCTTTTGCGGTATTAGGTTATAGCATTAGTGGAGTCCTGTACCACTTGGAGTTTATGTTGGCACCTAGCATCACTTTGATGAACAACCTGCTGGGAGACTGTGCGGCCGTTAATGACAGGCGTCAGCCGCCTTCTGCTCGGGGTGTCAGATACTGTCCCCTGAACTCAGGCCACGAGCTCGAGGAGTCAAAGCAAAAATGCCAAAGTTCAGGTCACCGTGAACTCCTGCGAATATAAAGGCAATGCAGACGGGTAGCGTGAAGAAGTGGTCGTAACGGGAAGCCATACAACCGCCGTACGTTTTCTACTTGCCGTACCAGGCAGAGCTAAGCGCAAACGCAAACATGAAATCTGCATTCTGTGACGACGACCGTTTCTGGCCTCAAACCACTCTGCATCGTTCACGTGAATGCCACCCGCCTTGACAAGTTAGCACATCGTTCCGCTGCCCAATCCTTCAGCGTGCCGGTCTACCCCGCTCACCTTGCCTATGACGGGGTCCCTGTGCCCCACCCACATGCCGTCCTTGAGAAAGTGGCCCTCCTGCATGAGCTTGCTCGTCGAGTAGAAGTACAACCCTGCTGTAGGCTTGCTTTCTGCAAACTTGCCCATAAACATGGAGCCATCCTTGAAGATCCAGCGCCCTTGCGTGACGTGTCCCTCCACACAATCGCCCACCAGCTGGCAGCAGGGGGCCTTATAATGGTACATGTCCTTGCGGTGTCGCTTGCCTGGTTTTTGTAGTTGGAATGTGCAATCCTACGATTAGGATTGAGAAAACTCCCCAACCTCACGATCTCCGAGCGATTGTGCTTCAAGATCGAGGATGGTGTTGAGACTACGAAGAAGTTCGCAGTCCATGACGCGGATCACAGTTATCCTCAAAGCACAATGTCTAGCTGCTTGACCAACCATCTGTGGCCCAAGCTCTGTCACATGTGACTCACGGCTGGTAGGCACGGCGGTGACATACTTGGATGAGCAATTCGTTGATGTACGGACATTCGGCCTAGCAGTTATGTCTCCGGCAATCGTATAGTGTGAAGTCCTTTAGGATTCCAAGGGGACCGCCCTCGGCCCGTACGGAGGGCCACAGCCTGCTGTCGTGTACGTGTCAGTTCGCACCCGAAGTCCATTGGTACGGGATGGCGGTGTCGAGGCTGCATGGGGATTATGGCATGACTGACAGTGACTTGCTTTTGGATTGGAAATTTTGGTGGTCTAGTGTTTATATGCAGGAAAGCAGAATGCAATCAGCTCGACGCCAATGCCAGTGTTGAGGTTTACAACCGTCAATGTTAGGCCTTTCATAAGTTATGCAAATAAAAATAACTTGATTAGCTTTTCTGTTACACGGCGTCACTTCATTGCAGCACCACCACATATATCCTACTGATCCACCGTTCCAAGTTAAGCCAAGGCCTCTCGCATTACCCACTCTGTCTTTAATCGCCAATGCGGCAACCATTTCTATCCCCTACAGAGCTCCCATTCAATAAAACATTGTACATGTCAAACACTTATCCCTTCTACTCTTCGGGAGTCTGCAGCCCACTGTAACCACCACACACACACACACTTATCCCTGTCACGATGCCCCCCACACTTACATCTCGTAACAACATGAATGAACTTGTGGATGCGTATGCAGTGAATGGGACGTATTAAGATCGTATATGCTTTTAATGGTGCAGGCCTGCACAGAAGGCTCTGTGAGCGCAAAAGCGCTGTAACTTTGTTTGGTGTTTGGTCGGTGTACGAACGCATTTGTACAGATACAGAGAACAGATCCTCACGGATCCTTGTGTGGGTGCGGTAACCTGCTATTGACTATCGAGTGACCATTTGCTGCCATTGAAGCATACCGCAAGCACAGTTTCGCATACGTGATTGACTGTGGGGCGTCTCTGACTCCGCAAGCGACGCCCCACAGTCAATCATGTATGCGAAACTGTGCTTGCAGTATGCTTCAATGGCTGCAAATAGTCGCACTCCATAGTCAATAGCAAATTACCGCACCCACACAAGGATCCGTGAGAATCTGTTCTCTGTATCTGTACAAATGCGTTCGCAGACCGACCAAACACTAAACGAAGTTACAGGCCTGCACCATAAAAGCATATATGCTTCTAATACACCCAATTCAAACTATTCCAAAAAATCGTCCTATGCATCACCAGACTTGATGTGTAGTGTGTGTGGCTTCTCAGCACCCACTAGACGCTTGTAAAGCATCACAGCGCCTCCGATGAAGACGATGATGAGAGAGATGATGCAAGCCAAAGCCACCCAGCCAGTGACGGTGATCGTACTGCTGACCGTGTCCACCAGAACCGACTCCAGACCAGCAGCTTGCTGGACCTGAGCAATTTTTTGAATCAGAGCTGATGTCGACTCGGGGTGATCGAAGTAAACACGGGCGTCCTTTGGTGCAGCAACAAGCACCAGTGCACGGCACTTGCTGTCCAGCCGCTTGCCCTCCACCAGCGCCTTCGATAGGCACCGCCCAACAGCGCCAATGGTGAACACAGCGCCAGACCGGCTACGGGCGCCCTGCAACCATTGCAATAACAGGGTCAAGTTCTCGAAAATGCGCCACCGTGCACGGTTTCAAGCAGCTGGGCATGGATTAGATGGTCGGCGAAGGAAAATTGGGGGTGGGGGCTTCTGCTTCATGGACGTCTGTCATATGTACATCTAACCCTCAAAGCTATTCCCGAAGAATTCCCGAAGAAAGTGAGAACAAGTAAAACAAAGGCAGATACACATCCTCGAAGAAAGTAAGAGTCAGTGCTTCTGTCTTTCTTCTTGCTCTCCTTTGTCTGGATAGAGGCGGCAGGGGAAGGAAGCAGCAGGGGATGATGCGGCAGAGGATAGAGGCGGCAGGGGAGAAGGTGGCAGGCGAGGAGCCGCAGGGGATAGAGGTGGCAGGGGCGGAGGCGGCAAGGGAGAAGGCGACAGGGGATGATCCGGATAGAGGCAACAGGGGATAGAGGCGCCGGGGGAGAAGGTGGCAGGGGACAGAGGCGGCAGGGTAGAAGGCGGCAGGGGAAGAGACGGCAGGGGATAGAGGCGGCAGGGGATAGAGGCGGCAGGGGAGAAGGTGGAGAGGATAGAGACGGCAGGGGAGGAGGCAGCAGGATAGGAGGTGGCAGGGGGCGGAAGTGACAGGGGACGAAGCGCGGAGCGGGGAAGCGGGAGGCGAGGAGCGGTACCCCACATCCTTCTTTGGGCACGTACAGCCGTCGGCTCCATTCCTTATGCTTTTCAGGTCAGAAAGCTGACGTCCTAAATCGCTCCTGTAGACAGATTTAAGACTCCCACTATATACCGTGATAAAACTGCAACGGCAAACAACCGTGTACCCTCTGCAATCTCGCACGAGCTACTGCTTTTTGTCTGGTCTGGTGACATCACTGCAATTAACAGACTAAGGTCCTGGGTTTAATTCCTGGACAGATCCCCGACGTTGCAGCTGATCTACTGATTTTCGCATGCTGGATTGGTGACGATTGCTGAACCTTCTGCCTTTACGGATGTTCAGGCGATGAAGGATTAGTTGGCAGGATTCAAGTTCGCCTTGGATTTCCAGTTTGTACGGCGAAATCAACTTTTCATTATCTAGTCCATAGCCCGCAACCGTGCGGAACTTGTAAACTTGTAATGACTTGCTACCAGCCAGCCACCCGACCCCAAGCCTTAGCCCCTAAACAAATATTACAGCATCTAAGCACTTACTTATCCCACATTACAGAAGTCCCCACATACGTTAACATGCAGAACCGCCTTACCCTTGGGCACTGTGCCTCCACGTCAGCATCGCAAGTCGTCGTGAGTGCTGCGCCAGGCTTATAATCCCACAACGCCAGGCGAACCGCACGGGACATCTCCGTCTGGCACTGCTCCGCAAGGCTCTTGAAGTTATCCACGAGGCACTTGAGGACTGTGGCGTTGCCACGGAGCTTGGTCTTTGCCTCCTTACAGTAGGTCTCGACGTCGCTTTCACAGTTAGTGAAGACACCAATGTCATATCGATAATCAGATTTCATCATGTCCTCACGCTTCTGCAGCTCCTCTTTGCACTCCTCCCCGAAGTTCGGCTGTGCCATGTTCTCCATCAGGCACTTAATAACGCGAGCCTTGCCTGGCTTCACATCCTGTACGCGCGCAGAGGGCAGAAGTAAACATGAAATCAATCCCATTGTAACAGTACAGATTGGAGTACGACCATCTACGGTAAAGGGCGCATCTGCAAGACGAGCACCAGGAGCGCCATGCCCACTATTGAGTACAACGCCACAAATACTTGAACAAGAAGCCGTTCAACTTGGGCAACTAGCGAGAGTTCCATACCTTGCAATAAACGGCCTTCTCCTCTGAGCAGAGCTTGTTGAGTTTTGGCCGCAGGCGGATGTCACGGTACTCAAGCGCAGCGAGTTTCATCTCCTCATTACGACACTGTTCCGACAACTTCTCCTTGTTGTAACGCAGGCACTGGTGAACGCGGCCCTCGCCTGTACGTCAAGGAGGCGCAGTTTGAGCACACAAAGGTCCCCGAGATATGCCTTTGCAGTTCAAACACATTTTGCCAGGAGGCTTACCAGGCTCGACGTCCTTGCAATACGATTCGACATCACTTCTGCATGCTTCCGCAAGGATGACGTCATTGCGAAAGTCGGTAACCTCCATGAGCTCGTAGTAAAAGACCTCATCCTGGCACGCCTCGTTAGTAATGTTATCCTGCTTATCTTGCAGACACTGCAGAACTAGACCGCCGCACGTCACTCCGGGAGTAGTACTGCACGAGTTCGGGCAGAGCTTCTGAATCTCAGACTCGCAGGCGTGGTTCAGGCGCCAGTTCAGACGATAATCCTGCGCCATGCGGTTCATGTCTTTCATGACCTCATCCTTGCATTCCTTAGACATATCAGTGTTGTCCAGTTGATCCTCAAGGCACCTGCGTAAAATCGAGGCAAGGGTGAGCATTCCACCGCATCCAAATGCGACTACATTTTCCGATTCAGTCCGCCCATAGCCTATGTCTGGCAAGTCTCTTGTACATTCCAACAGCACCCGCCCTATCATGCTTCCCTTGTCGAATTCAGCCTAAGCAAATTCGTTAACAATCGTAGATGTGTGCTTAGCCGAAGCAAACTAACACGACGTCCCGTTGCTGTAAACCACCAAAAGCGTATTGTTGCGGAACTTGCACGGAGTATGCACCCTTTTCCCGCAAATCCATGGAACATACCCATGCGCACCTAACAATGCGTGCATGCCCGTGCGGGATGTTCTTGCAGAACGAGCTGATTTCCCAAGCGCACGCGCGCTTCATGGGAAACTTGAAGTCGATGTCTTCAGCCATCATAACCTCATGGTCGAACAGAGCAGCAGCGCAGTTCTGGTCCAAGCTGTTGCGGTTGTCTTGCAGGCATCGGATGACGCGCGCCGAGCCCTGCACAAACAAACTCATAGGTCACACAAAATCTTCTGACGCCAGAGAGATCCTTACGCCACCCACCGGCTGAATGTCACTGCAGAACCGGTTACGATCATCCGTGCAAGCGCTGGCCAGCCTCTCGTCAAAACGAATATCACGGGCCGCGCGCTTCAGCCGGCGGTGAATTTCAGCCTTGCATTTATCGCTTTTTAGCTCATCGCGCAGAGACTGAAGGCAGTTGAGCGCCGACCTCTTGCTGTTGTCGTCCTGCATGATTTGTGTAGGGGATGTCAGCCTGGTCTACATCTCTGTACCTGCAAGGAGTCAATATGCCTTACCTCGTCCATTTGCTTTAGCGTCGTATCGCAAGTGTCTTTCAGATCACCCTCACAGGCCTCCCTAAGAGCCGTGTCCAAACGGAAGTCTGCCACACGGCTAGCAATGACCTCTTCCAGCTCCGACTTGCACTCCGCCGAAAAGTCAGCCTCATCAATGTGGTCTTCGAGGCACTCCTGGACACGCATGTGACCAGGCTCTATGTCCTTGCAGAATTTCCTTTGATCTGTCAAACATTTCTTAAAGAGGCGTGTGCTCAGGCGAATGTCATCGCCACTCTCCTTCTCATTGCGAAACATCTGATTCTGGCACTCCCAGGTTACCCGGATCCGTTTCTGCGCCTGCAAGTCCCAAGGGAATCAGGCAACCGCAGCATCCACAGATAAGGCGCAATCTACAATCTTTAAAATGATGACAGCCGTCAGCCTACTTCACGCCAGCAGCAGGGCGTAGCAGAGGGCATGGGAGGGACATGGCTCGTGAAAACATGGTGTCTGGACGATGGGCTGCAGCTAAAGGAGCCATACTTCGTTATGCAGGAAGCAAGGTATGGCAACAACCCGTCCCCGTAATTGGCCGAACATCGAGATACACGCTGCAAAGATGGCGGAAGAGTGGAGGATAACCAGGTACCGGAAAGTGGACATGTTTGTCTGCCCATTGTGTAAACGATGCGAACAGCCACTGGATAATGGATACAGAATCTTAAACCAGCGCCAATCATGACGTGCTATACCCCATAAAACGAACTTTCTCAGGCTTGGCAACTGGAGGGTAGGGCACACTGTTAAGATGGCGATTCTTGTTTGACGCCTCACGCAAGCCTTACGTTTCAACCACCTAGCACAGCCCTAGTTGCGCAAGTAAAACGCACCAGGCATTCGAGCTCTTCGCCCTGCTCCACGTCTTTGCAGAGATTGTTAACGTCATCCTTGCAGGCAGTGTACAGCTTGTAGTCGAAACGGTAGTCCTCCGCAACCTGTACGAAATGCGCCGTGAACCTCGGGTCGCACTTAGGAATTGACATTCATACGCCGTAACATCGCACCTCTTGCTGTGTTCGAAAAACTTCAGCACTGCAGCCCGCTGTAAGTTTTGCTTTCTTGTCCCTGCAAATACCGGAACAGCAGAAGTGACGTCACCAATTACCCCAAAGGATGCACAGACTACGACTTCCATACTTACAACAGGCAGCTGATAACGGATCCGGGGGCCTTGTCGTCGCTCACGTCCTTACAAAGCTTGTCCACATCGTCCTTGCATGCCTTGGCTGCGGCAAGGCAGTGCCAGCTGCACCATTAGCAACTTAACACAATTGCTGATTTCGTTTAAAATAGCTTACCAAGGGGAAGATCCTTGTTTATCTTCTTTGACCTGTCAATCTTGAAGGCTGCCAAGGCCTCTACGCACTTATCAACCACCTTGCGACCTGCGCAACGGCCTAGGATTAGGCAATTGTTTACATTGTCGGATCTTCCCTCAGCCTGCATGCTCACCAACAACGTTGCCTTGGCGCTGGGCCCGTATCCGCTTGGTGAGGCAGCTCGCTAAGCGCCCTTCGCCAGCAATCACATCCTTGCAAGCCGCTTTAGCATCTCCAGCGCACTCCCCTGCACGCGGTTTCCAGCTGCTGAACAACTGGCGCTGCTGGCTTGGGACCGGACTGATGATCGAGCTCACCCGTTGCGCTAACGTCCCCGTTCCCGTTATAGAGCTCCGCACTTCCAGCCGATGGAATAATATTTGAAAGCTTAGGCTGTGGAGCTTCCTTCTTTACCGCAGCCGCAGAGGCGGTTGCATCGGCTGCGCTAGCAAGTATCAGGTGTGCGCCCAGCGCCAGGGCGAGAAGCAAGGACCGCATTGTCCGAGCCTAGGGCACAACAATGCTTATTTATATACCAGAGCCCAGCAAGTAATTAGGAAAACAATGCTACATGGAGCTGACCTTTGATTAAGCCTGCCAGGGAAGACCCAGTACGGCAGTTCTTCATGCATGCAAAATTTCGATTTGTTTGTGAAAATCCTCCTAGCATGAATCGACGTGGCTCAGGAATAACTGTGAGTTATCTGTTATGAAAGGAGTCTGTTTCATTTTCGTATGCACCTGTTGTCCACCACCGCTTCTGCTGGAGTGCCTCACACTTGTAACTGAACACCTCTGGAAAAAGAATTCTCGCTCGGGTTCTTCGTGTAAATGAAAACCAGACGCTACGCGTTTTTCGGCTTGCCCAAAAGAGGAATTGCTTCATACTGAGTTTACATGCAACGTTACGTTAAGACTTTCTGGGAAAAGTGGTCGATTCGGACATAATAATGGAACGTTACCGGTAAAGTGGACGAAAAGTGTAAAGTGACCGGGGGCTGAATTTCGTCAAACGTTGACCCCTCGTACCGTTACCTGAATTGCGTCGCCAATTTCACGAGTTATAACAAACGGCCAAGCCCAATCGCTTTTACTCTAAGTGGGTGCGTTTGCGGGTGCTGCAGTCTATGTTGTGATGAGGTGTTGATAAATTGTTAAGAGTACGTGAGTCGAAGGAGGTGCGATTAGCGATTGAAAGCTTACAAGGAGCAAAGCTAATGGATGAGTTGTGTTTGTGTAGCAAACTTCATTCTACATGCCGAAAGGCCGACTTGTTCTCCTGGAATGCCAGTGGTGTGTTTGTGAAACCCTCCTCTCCCTCCTCTCCCTCCTCTTGACGCCTCACTTTATATACAACGTTCATATAATACAACGTCCATTATTACTAGTCCTTCTTAATAATATCTTCTCTTCATTTTCATTTGACGCTTCACTTTGCCATTTTTCCGGGTGTCACCCCCATATGTCTGGTCGATTTGCGTCATGAGTACTTTTGTAACCGCCTTATGCTCGGCCACTTCTTCACACTGCACATCTTCCGGACTTATGCGCTTTGCATTTTACCGTGTTTTTTCTATTATTCAATTATCGGGGGTTTCTGGTGAAGCAGCTGGCCGCGCTCCTTGCGGCTTCGTAGGGTGCTGCCGTATGGTGGCGAAAGTGGCTTGCCGTGCATAACGTGCATGACGGAGAATGGTAGTGTGCACCGCAGTCTAAAGGAAAGGCGGCACCGGCGTGTGTGCGTATGTGGAAATGTTATGTGGGTGGGTGGAAGCCAGCAGAGTGGATATGGACAGCTTGTTCAGACAGCCGGACGCACATCACAACCGTTTACATACGTTGAAGAAGGGAAAATGTATGGCGCCCCGGCACTGTCGACGACACAAAGTTTGTAGAATCGTGGTGCACTTTAGGGTTGTAGGGATGTAGTCATCCATCCGCATTTCTTGTGTCTGTTACCACGTCATATGGCGTGACAGCAGATCTTTAGGCACCAAAAGAAGCGGGCGGCTGTGGTGAATGCAAGTTGATACCAGTCTTTCCTTTCAGGCATAAACACACGCTGCACGAGGGCGCTGCGAAACACACCTGACGCGCCAGCAACATGCAGCAACCGTTGTGCGTCTTGATAACAGTGCACTGCTATCAGCAGCCTGCCGCGCCGACCGAAGCTGCATGTGCCCAGGTTTAATGCCGCTTGGTGATTATACAAGGAACCGCGCGGCCTTGCAGCGCTCCTCTCGGGTCGGATGAAGGCCTGCTTGCCACCCATGCCGGCAATGCGGTGTACGTTGCCCATGCCCCCTGCTTATGAAGGCTGCTCTTTGCGACCCTGTCGCCGACCCTCTCAGCAAGCCAAGCTAGCGAAGTCCTTATTTCTTTTTTCTCCAGTGAAAGTTTCCTTTTTTAATTCATTAAGATTGCCGCTTTCTTCATGTGTTGCCGCGAGCTTTCCTTTATGTTGGTGTTTATATTTTTTAATTGTCTTTCTCCTTCGTTGTTTTCGCTATTATTTAATTCGCCATTAAGCAGGTCAATTGTTCAGTGGACTCCTGCATGCCCAGTGCTCGGGCCGAAACGGAAACCCTATGAAACTGAAACTGTGCGAAACCTGATTCCGTGTTTTCGGCAAAGAGGTTCAGGAACACCGGAAAGGCCGAAACTAGTTACCGGCCTTTTCGGCCAGCGCCGTACGCGGAATCTGTTTTCAAAGCGTCCGCATGGTCTTTAAGCCTGCGAAACTATGGAATTGTTTGATTTTATGCTAATAATGCCAGAAATAATTTCAGTTTGTTAGCGGAGACCCAGGCACCTCAGTTGATGGCTCTGACCGAGTCAAAAAGAAGGGAAGGAGGCCCCAGGACCACCGTTTGGGTTCACTTCGTTAAGAGGAACTAAAATACCAAGTCAAAGACATGGGGCGTCTCCTGTAAGTACTGTCCCTGCCCTCGGACATGATCTCCCAGCTTTTTTTCCTGTAAGCCACGAGGCTTCATGTAAGATGCTCAGGGATGCCTCTGCAATCGATAATCACTTCTCCCCGAACAGTCCAATCAGCAAACCGTCAGATGCGTGACACTTCCATATACCTAAAACCATAAAACTATATCAAAACCATAAACATTAACAAAGCCAATAAACTTTGGCGCGAAATTTTTTAAGCTCTATTTTGGAAAGGGCCTACGCCCAGTCCCCTTTGGGTATCCCGGCTACGCTTTGGACTGCTCGCCCAGGCTCGCCGGCCAAAGCCGTTTACTTTTGTTGACATGATCGCAGAACAACCTGCTGTCCCAGTTTCCCAAGGTAGCTTTGCTCACGCAACTTCACAGCATCCTTCAGTCCACAATGGTGCAGCCCTTGCAGGGTCCGCCCCGTCGCCTCGACGCCGATTCGCCATGGCAGGATGCCGGGCACCAGCCTGGTTGTAATCAGCAAAAGAATGTCGCACTTTTCCTATGTGCAGCAGAAATGCAGAATAGGCTCCTTCTAGCGCTGAAAAAGCGAAAAAATGTGGTTTCGGGGCGGCAAGTGGAAACGGCCTCTTGTTAGGGATTGTTAGCGGCACAATAAACTTTATTGTCAAAGTCAACAAGCGACTCAGTGGAGCCCCCCTGTCAGCATGCGACTCGGCGCGTAAGGCCCATTTTACGACGTTTGCCATTCAGAGACATAGCAAATTGCAGCATTTCGAAGTTTCCGATAGTTACCGGAGGTTTCGCAAGGTTTCCCAAGAAGGTCAAAATCGGGAACTGTTTCGCAAACGTAGTCTAGGTTTCGGCCGAGCAGTGTGCATGCCAAGGGACATGTGGACGCGCCCGCTCCACTTCGCGCTGTGGCGTTTCGCAGTAGCGGGGGCAACCCGCTGGCCGGTCCTCACAGCAGCCAATCTGGCGTCCGTCACCGCACGCCCGCTACATTTTCACACGCATATGTGTATCCCACCACCGCTCCTGGCTCTTGGAGGCTCTGCCCTTTGCGCGGCCCGCCGTGGGCTTCTCATTTTGGGCGTGTTAATCAAGCCGCTTAATCCCGCGCAAATTTCGCAAGCCCGCGAATTTTGCGCACATACGCGTAAAGCCCGCGCTCCTGGCTTTCGAAGGCTGCCCTTTGCGCGGCCCGCCGTGGCCTTCGCATTCTGTCTGGACGTGTACGAACGCTATATTCGGTTGCTCGTACACTGCGGAACGTTTTTGCGAGGGGCTGCTTAATAACACCGCGCCAAGGCCCTGAACGCAGCGCCTCTTATACGACGTTCCTTCCGGATTGCGCAAAAGTAATTGTGTAACACAGCAAAGGCGTAACCCGGGATGCTCAGATGGGCCTTGCGTCGTTACAAATTGTGTCTCAGTCCGAGCATGCTCGTCCATTTCATCCAACATCTAGGTTCTTGCCCACCTCTTAGGTGGGCAAACCAAATCCTACCTGCCTTATAAAATTTCTTTCCCCAAGTTTCATCTTCGCCCACGAGGATCCATAGGTAGAGCAAGCGCTGTTACTTTTTTTACCGTTCTGTGCATAATTACATATTTTATATATCTTTTCAAACCTAAAAATCCATACTTAGGTGTCCGTTGACGTTCTGGTGAGACTTTCGCTGTCTGGAGCTTCGCGAGCCTCCACCTCGGCTGCAGTTTAACATTAGAACAGCAATAACCGCTATAAATCAATATGGTGAGCTATTATACTACAGTGTCGACGCGTGCAAGGCAAAGTTGTTGGTTTGCCGTACAGTTATTCTCAATTCTTAGTATCCTATCTCCCAAGGCCCACTTGACGCTGTGTCCAATCCAGGGCTGTGGGGCTTCAAAAAATGCCACCGGGTCAAATGGCTCAGCGGTCGCTTCGGCTCGCCCTATCGCAGCAGCGGCAGCGCCAGCCGACCCCAGCCCGCGACCGTCAACGAGCAACGGGTTGAACCCAGAACCGTCCAGGCCGTCCCCGGCAGGAGCTGTGATCCCCTCAAGCGCTGCAACCCAATCGTCTCCTCCTCCCCCAACTTCTCCTCCTGCGCCTTCTTCGGAGGCCGTACCGCAATTGCCGCCACCACCATCACAACCACCATCACAATCACAATCACCATCGCCATCACCGCCACCACCACCACCACCACAACAACAACAACAACAACAAAACCCTGAAGCGACCCAACCAAGCAACGGCCTCCCCGAGCCCCCCAAGCCATGTCAGGTACTACAG